TTAAATTAATTCGATATCTTATAAATAGATAATTATTTGTACTTTGGTTGACGATGTTGCTATTACATGTATAATACATAGTTTACTCTTCTATACTCATTTCATTGTACTTATAAAAACTTCTTGATGTTTAAATAAAGATACTTAATACGGAAGTTATAGTTAAAAAAACGTATTATGTGTTTAATATGTATCCGATGTACTCGTATGTAATAGTAACTGATTATCTTAAAAAATAATAAAATATCAAATACAAAAGGTTAAAAAATTTTTCATTCGATTATTATTTATGCCTTCATATTTTCATATATCTTAACTATCATATTAAACAAAAATTATTTTATTATATAAAAAAAAATGATAAAGCTCAAACTTTTGGATTATATAATTAAAATCCGGATCTATGTCACATCACTAATGTCTACGTATATATATTAAATTCATATAGACATAAACGTGTGCAAATCATAAAGGCAGGTAGGTACTACGTACAAGTAGCTATGGGACCACCTTTAATGAATTAGAACACATTTAGCAAAACCAAAATTAACAGATAGTACTTACATGAACGGGTAATATTCAAATCAGCATTCCTTACATAATAGTTTTCAGTTTCTGTAGTGTCCTTACCGAAATACCAGGTACTTCTTCAATAAAAGAAAATATTGTTTCAAACAAATATCTAGTTTTTCTAATTATACCTTATTCCATTGTAATTAATTATTATTATGTATAAATCGTAAAACCTTTGTTGGATACTGCATTATAAAAATAGTATATTATAGTTATTGAATTTAACATACCAATACAGAGGTTAACTTTCGTAAATATATTTTCAAATCCTACTTAATTATTAATTCATTCTCTATATTTTCAATAATTAATGATTTGGTAACCTTTGTTGAACAGCACCTAGTTAAAATAAATTTAAAATTGACAGTTAAATTTTATTCCAATACAAATAGTAAATTAAATAGGGTCCTTAGAAAAATGCATGATCACACACTCCTTATATAGCTCATAAACTTTGACATTTTATACTAATGGGTTGATTGAGATATTTTAAAATGCAATTTTCTGGAATGGGTGACAAAGGTATTTTAAATAACAACAGATATAAGTTAATTTCTAATTAATGATTTACAATTTATTTCTCAACAATACATGTGTTATATATTTAAGTGCTCAATAATAATTTATACAAAATACTTTAATTTTTATGAAAATATTCATTGACTATATCATAATCTTAACTATTTTATATTTATAATACTCTATATACTCTATATACTCTATATATCTATATATATAATCGATAACAATAGTATGGATAGAAAATATACTTTGTTAGCGTAATTTTTAATAATTCTACAATATTATTAAAATATAATGTACATCTTAAAAATTGTAGTAAACTAATTTAACTATTATGATTTTTACATTATTAATAATAATGATAATAATAATTAAGATATAGGATGTAAAATGTAATTAATTAAATAATTTAGTGTATGAAAATATACTATGATGAAACGTAACATTTTTTAAATTACAATCACGACTCAAAACTGTATTAATTAAACTATTACCTTTTACTCCTCGTAGTATATTTTTAATTCATCTCATCTATAAAAATGGTGCGGCGTCTACAGCATAAGTATACAATCAAGAATATCCATCAATAACACTTTTCAAAACAATGATGCAATACAATATGATTATTAAATAAAATAAACAGAAATGTATTGTTCCTAATATTTTTGTACGTTATTTTAATTTAAATTAAAAATAAATAAATACACATATATTTAATTAGATCAACTGAATTAATGATGTATTAAAATATGTTAAAATATTGAGCAATAGGTACAAATCACAGTGGTTAAAGAATTTTATGCTATTCGTCAACTTTTCTAAAAAAAGAAACCTGTTTTGTTGCTACTTACTGTTGGTAGTAAAGTGAGTAAAAATAAATACATTTTTATTGAGTTATTATTTAAAAAAAATCCTTTTAGTGGACATTGGAATACATATATTTTTTTTTTCGCTACTATCCCGTTTGATAAATTCAATAATAATAAATTAAGTCACAGGACGATAATTTCTAGGTTATTTATTGGCAATATTCATTAATTGCAAACGATTTTTCTTTTGTCTAGACATTCGGTAGTCGGGTCATTATTTTTCCCTAGATAGACCAAATTTCTATTATTCAACTCCGGCACGTATCGTTGATAACACCGTCGACCATTATTTCACTTCAACTAACGACGTAGCCAAATGGTCAAGTTTGGCGCCACTGAACAAAATTTAAAACGATCTTCGCCTTCCGAGTAAATCTATAAGGCTTCTTATAAAAACATCTTTATAGCAGACAATGAGAGTGTTAATGTCGCATGGCGCCTAAATTATAAGAATGTAAGACGGCTAGTGTATACTATGTAAATTGAAACTATTCCATATTAATTATATACTATTATAGTATCCGTTACATTATTATAATTTACTAATAATCGTGAAAATCTGTTAAGATCAAAATGTGTCAACTACTTATTAATGAGATAGGTGTTCCTAATGAGTTTGGTTAATGTAATTTTATCATGTATTCATGTATTTGATTTTAATTTTTTCAATGACGTCAACTACATTTCTTTTTCTTTTTAAACACATAAAAAAAAACTTGCTACGTTTCTAACTTTAAAAATTACATCGATTTAATTAGTGGCATAATAACTTAATAAAATTAGTTTGAAAAGTGTAGTGAAAAAAATAAAAATATATATATATATATATATATACAAAACATACGCACGATTATTAATTGCTAACTGAAAATGGCTATTTGTACGATACTACTATACTATAGTATACTACTTTTATACTATACTACGATGTACATTATACGTATAGTCGTTTATGAACCGAGAGTAGGTACCTTACCTACCGTAAAACTTAACGTACGTATAATAGTAATGTACATTCTAATTGCAGATCCTCGGGCAGACTAAGTCTGGTGTTCGATTTATTCGTGTCTATTAAACTCGTATAACACAATTTATTTGCACACGTAAATAAAGGGTCGAGAATTATATAATTTAATAACACAATTATTGATACGATACATAATTTTATAAAACGAATACTCTTCTAGAAATTAAAGTCAAAAATCGTGTATAAAAATAAGAGTAATTATAACTATCATTCAAATATTAATTTAGGATACGGTCCGAAATCACGGGAGTTGGAATAAAATATTTTTGCGTGTCATATGTGTTGGGTAGTACGTAATCAAAATTTAAGAACAGCTACAAACGTGCTTGAAGATCTTCTTGGCGAGTATTATATCCTAGTTAGAATGCTTTACGCCTACGATTCTATAAACTGTTACGCGCGATGTTGACTGCGAGTAAAAAGGGTGGTCGCACGAAAACGATTTCAATGATAATTTCACTCAGTGCCGGGTTAACAAATTTGCCGCATGGAGGAAGATTTTAAAATACCATCCTTCAACCCCCCTCCACAAACCAATATATATATATATATATATATATGTATACACAACAAGTAACAACATAGTTAAGAATGTTTAATTAATATATATATATATATAAAAATATTGTTACATGCTGTGACAATATATTTATAAATATATAATTTACATAACGTAACTTACTTCAGTAGTTTTAAATTTATAGACCTTATGAGGTACTAAATATAAACATTTTAATACAAATTTATTCGATATAAGAAATGTAAAACTATATTCTAGCTTTCTGTGCAGCAAACTCTTTAATAATATCATTCCAATCTATACTTTTTAGGACAATATTCTCAATAGACATTAAAGCCAACAATGATATATTTTCATTAAATAACTATGTTCTCTGGTATATGCAATCTTCAATATATGCATTTATATGCTATTTTCACTTGTATTGATTGAAAATAAAATATTAAGCACGTTTGTTTTTCAGTCAATCGTGATTCGTGAATCGAACTCGACAACGACGACAACTATAACCACGAGACTCGAGAGAGATCTAATAAAAACAATTGCTTGATAGTGTATAAATAAATTATTTTAAATTATTAATATCAAATTTAATAATCTGAGGATTATGAATTATAATACACACATAGAGATATTTAAGGAATACAACAAACACAATTGTATGTCAGTGTAACGAAAATAAAAATGCATAGGTCTGAGTGCTAAATAACAATAATATGATTTTACCGTTGAACGCCCACTGACGAAATAACTCAGCGGTTTAATATAATATTACTATTGTAATTTGATAAAATTGTTATTTATATTTTTCAATAATAAATTAAGAAATTTTCCTAAAAACTAGTATATATATTAGAAAATTTCAAAACTTTTGTTTACCTTGCCGCCCCTAAAATTGTGCTACCCATGGCAGTTGCCCCCTTTGCCCACTCCCTTCCTTACCCCGACACTGGTCTCACTACAATGGCACTCTTATTCAACATCGTGAATATATATATATACATACTTGTTACTATTATTATCTCGATGTTATGTTATACGCAGAGACTTATTATAATCGAAATAAAATAAAATAATGATATTACATTCTCCGTTTTAGGGATTCAACGCGAAAACCGATTGTGTGCAGTACCCTCTTGTGCGCGAACAATTGTTGTTATTTTCCCCCCACCCTCGTGGTGGTCCGCGGGACGTTCTTGTACCTAAATAATAATAATAATAACACATATATAATATAACGCGTCTATTTACGACGGGGGCGGTACAATAAATTTGTTGTTTAATACCTACACAGCACATACATACTCGGATAATACATATATATCCATAAATATCAATTGGGTCCGTGTGAGAGTGTGTGTGCACGTGTGCGCGCGTGTATAGGGCTCCGACACGGTGTGTGTAGGTACCTTTTTGATGCCGATCTGACCGCCACCGACCCGTTCCGGCAGAGCGGTGTGTGTGCTGCGTTTGTATATATACGTATACGGTTGGATACATTATGCGCGCAGTTCGGTTCTACTAGCTACACACGTCGTACGCGTCCCCCGACCGACAGTCCGCACAGCCGAGTAAACCACGACCGGTGGACACGAGCCCATTTTTTCCACCCCTCCGTGCCCATACTTATATAATTTTTCGTACGATTATATTTCGGGCCTACAGAGTTAATATGACTGACAGCAATCGTAAAGGCACGCACGTTGCTGTCGTATGACGATTTTCGATGATCTTTTTTTTTTCTTCTGTTTTTCTTGAGCTTCGTACATTCTACTGGATCCGTGTACATGCGTTTAGCTGATATCTTTCTTCTCGAGATAGAAGACCGTTTCGTTTCGTGTACGCGTGTGCTTCGTATTCGTGTGTGTGTGTGTGTGTGTGCCCGATATCGCAACAAGGTTTCTTCCATTTTTCCACCCTCTGCTGCAGCACTGTTCAAGATCATTACCACGCTATAAAAACTACACAAGTTCGATGTGGTGTTCGGTTCTACGAAAATCAGGTACCTACCCTAAAGAAATGTTAATATCTCGCAATGCTATATTAGATAATTATTATTTTCCGAGTCCGGTACACCTATGTATACGACGAGTTTTTTATATATTTAAGAAACACAAGCGTATTTAAATTGAATACTCGAAGATTTTTAAGCTTTTAGATTTACATACATTTTCTGTCATAGAATCGCATGAATGGAGTATAAAATAATTTACTAATATTTATACATTAGTAAATAATATATATATATATATATATACACACTGTAAATTATACATAGAAAAATAAAACCTACTCATCAAACTGTGTATTATTATAAAATGTATTTACATGGGTTAAATGAAAAAATTACCAGTGTGTATTATTTGTATCATAATAATAGTATTAACCATCAGGTGGGTACTCCTCAACTAGTAATGCAGCTAATTTCATTATCGTCACGATTTTATATTATTATTTTCTTTATTTTTATTTTATTTTATTTTTTATTTTTTTTATTTTATACTAAGTTTTGAATGTTACGTTGAAACTGCAGTGGACGATCTTATTAATTGATATCCAGTGAACGAAAATTGTATTGATATACAATATAATAATATGATCGATTGATCTGCTGTAGACATTAGACGGTGAAAGTTTTGATTCTATTATTTCCAAATCCTAATGACAATAACGAGTAAAACTAGGATAAAATACATCTTGGGGACGTATTAAAAGTAGGTAAAAGCCTACAAGGTACAGTGAAACAGTATATATAGTTGATATTCTGATATTCACAATAACATTGTAATATTGTATCTGTAAATGAATGCCTGTTGAAACATTCGGACGAGCAAAACCATATGTTTGATTTGTTTTTCCAATTTCAATAATGTAATCAAACGCATTATTATAATATGATCACGAATGTTTTTTACTTATTATTTTATTTTTTCAACTAGTTCCAGGCATGTGTCCCAGACGGTTCATAAGCACGTGCTAGCTACAGCTGCCAGTACATAGTCGCGGTGTATAGTATTATTCAAACACCCCTGAGGAAGAATGACACTACGATTGTCGTCATGAACTTTAATTCAATCGCCGAGCTATTGCCATGGATGTTGTTGTTATTCGTCTCGACCAGCTTATCAACTCACGTTCCCAACAGTAAGGTAAGGCGATTCGATTCCTATGCAGACAGTTATTTCCCCTATAACACACGCGCACCACTCTTCGGTGTAGCGTTGACGAGTACGAGCGGTTTCTGCTCACACTACATCGCTCATAAATAGGAAAACGAATATTACGATAAGTTTTCCAATGTTAACCAGTTGAATACAAATAATATATATTACATTATGTTTCTATGTACGTGACGATCGAATACTTTGCATGTAATTTAATGCAGCGCCGAACCGAAGTCATTATTAAAATATTCATATTCATATTTATACCTGTGCATATTCAAAGTCAATCAATCGAAATCCCAATTAAGTAAACAATCGAATAGTATTATCGTATTATTCCGATTTTATGATAATATAATAAACACATTATAACACCCTCGGTTGAATATAAGTAGGTTAATTATTATCCGCTTGTTTCTTTTTTATATAATATACTTGACGGGTGCATTCAATGATATTTCAAGATAGAGAAAAAATACCCTCAAGGATTTCGGCTTACAGGCGGCATATTGTCTGGTGTACGTCTTGGAATAGTTTTTATGAGGTCGAGTGCATATTAGCTGGGCGTGTCTCAAACACCTTTTCATTTACAATCCCCCGCGGGTAAAAGAAAAAATATACGTGTATTGGGTATAAAAAAAAAATTGGTGCCGGCAAGTCTAGGGTTGACTTCACAATAAGATCGGCGCACCTGGCTCGGACTGCTCGGAGAGTTGTTTATAAAGAACCGCATTATTTATTTTTATTGAATTCTTCGATTTATCTCTTAAATAATTTATGTCAATTGATTTTCTTTTTATATTAATACACCAATACTTTTACTTATATTTATGAATGTTTTCATACCAATCATATTTCATCTGAATATGCAGATGTGTATCCAGTTACAGAGTTAGACGGAATACTCGACACATATTTATAAATATTCAGTACAATATAGCCTTATGATTGACGAAATATTATATTAATTATTAAAAACTAAAAATTGATAATTCATTATACTTTTACCGTTTAATCATTCAATAATATATATTTTTATCGCTATAAACTTATAAATATTGATTAGTTTTTTTTAAACACTATACAGTATTTTATCATTTATCGTTTTGAATTTAAAGTTGTACGCAGTTTTTTTCATGATAATTTGTAGCGCCTGTCGTTTAAGAAATTCATTATGTTTGTACTGAAAAAATTTCACACGGAATTAATCGAAAGAAAACATATTTGAAAAATGAAAAAACTGATAAACAACTATTTACGATATAGTGATACTGAGTACAATACTATTCTCAATGTCTTTATTGTGTTTAATATCAATACACAGTCACATTGTATTGTATTACTAAGTTTTAAGTTATAACATAGGATATGATTGTCGGAGACATATGTCGATTATAAGACGATAACGGACAACCTACAACTGTAGGTGAAAAAAAAATTACCATATGCTCAAATATTATAATACGTTTAGATTGTCGATCAAAACTACTGCAGTCGACACGTTCGATAAAAATTATTATTATTTTTCCTCCATTGACCGACGTATTACATAAACGCTACGCACTTGCGCGCGTGACTAAAATATAGCAAAAAAAAAAAATTTTACAAATCATTTTTAATCGGATTTCAAAAAATACGGAAAATAATCGACGCACCGGCTCGCAATAATTGTTTCCACGCGTACGAGTGTAAACTATGTGGCTAGAATCTTTATGCAGACACGTCGATTAAACATTTATAACATATACCTCTATATTTAATCTATAACAGACATAATGAAAACTGGTGTACAATCACGTCGGTAAATTACATGAATTACACATGGTTAGGTACGTTTGAAAAAATGTACACGTGCACGCTTAATCGAATACTTTTGTAACGATCGTGTTACCAGATACGACACTGACGTCTGATGGCTAAACTCCTGGGCACACGCAGCACCCACAAGTATTAATTATTGTGTTAACGTTTGATCTGTACGGAAAATGTTGACCATCGTTTCCGTTCGAACTCTAATACGGTACGACGCGTTGTACACTCGGAAACCAGTTTCAATCCGAATCCGGAATAGGTACGCGGCAAATATCCCGAACCGAAACCGTTTTAGAACACTGTGGTACGTTAACGTTTTAAACGTTATCGTCGATTCTGCGGTCCCATTGAATCCGTTCACATCTCACACGGGTACCCGTTGACGTGCAACGCCCGATCACGCGCGCGCGTGTACATGTCGAGGATGATATAAGGTGGCGAGTACAATTACAATAGAAACCTTTGAAAACCCATGTTGTTTGTATTACAAAGCTGAACCTTGAAAAAAATTACCAATACTCACACGTGCGCGCATCTACACACACACGCACACACGCACGCACGAACATTTATACATGTATTATTATTATTATTATTATTATTATTGGACTCGAAGAAATTATCCGAAACGGTCGAAGTTACAGAAAAAAAAAAATTAAATGAAACTCGTTATAAGTTTTTTATGACACGTTGAAGTCGAATAGTGTATTTATGTACGTAAAGAGGTTCCGAACTAAGTGTACAAAATAAGTTAATAATTTATATCTGTATACAGAAGAAATAATCTATATTTCGTTGCTTTCTATCTTTAAATTTCTGTGAAGCTTTTAGGTCTTCTCGAAAAATCAGATATTATACTAGGTCTAAGAGATAATAAATGATTAGAAATTATATGTACATTTTTATTTTGTAAACGTACTGATAAAAGAGAATTTTTTAAATGGCCTAACTAAAGTAAAATTAGTTTTTTCATCACACCTAAACACACAAGGTGCATATAATTAATAGGAAAGTTATCCACTATATCAATATTAGAAATATCAGTGATCAAAGATATTTTGTCAATTACATTTAATTTAAGTACAATTTGAATTGTTAATTTTTCAATATATATATATATAGTGTACTAAATTTAGTATACTAAATATAAATAATATATTCCAATATAAATGTGGTTAAACGATATGTTAAATTATAGTCGTATACATTTTCAAATGTTAATATTACATTTCTTATTAAAATTTAACATTTATGCAGCCATTATGATTGAAAACTGTGGGTTTGCATGTACAATAACTTGCGATAGACAAACACTTTTTAAAACTTTACTACAAAAATAAGAAAATATTATCTATACAAGGATACACAAGTATATTATATTTTATACATTTAATTTATATACTATATAAAACATTTTTTTTTGGGGGGGGGGGGTGATTAAATATTAAAAATTTTGATAAATAACATATATATAATATAGCATATAATGTATATATATATTTTTTATTTTCAAGCCTCATAGGCAATTTTGAAATTACAATTAAATTTGTAGGTCAGTTCATTTTTCTATAACATATTTTCTGATAATTCAAAGGGGAGATCTTGAACCCTAGCCCCCCTGCGTTTGTGCCTGATTAAAATATTATCTCATTTATGAAATCAGCTGTCATCACTGCGGTAGCGATAGTAGGTAGTTAATGCTATATTTTTATTATTTGCGCAACAAACGATGCAAACTCAATCGGTGAAATCGTGCGGCTGGCGCAGTATTTCGGAATTCTGATGGAAATACACACCGTAATGTAATGCGTGTCCGTGAAACATATTATATATGTTTACATATGTGTATATACACATTACAGAGTATAATTTTTTAGCTTTACCTAAATATGTACACATGAGTACAAAGCTGTAATAGGTATGTATACAACGCGCGTATTATACACGCTCTGCACAGACACATGGACTATTCCGTGGCGTTTATCCAATTAATATCATTCGGAAGTGAGACCGGTTGCCATGAAATTATTATCTTCTTATGATAATATACCTTTACGGAGTTATTAATAAAACCCCTATATTTTTATGTTGTATATATTATGTACACACATTATTTATATGAAATGATAAAAAAAAACTCACGGCGCTAAAACTGGTTTGTTTTTCACAGCTCACCAATCGGATAGACGCGTACCGGCGGTGTAAGTAGCCAGTGTGCATGAATACGATTGGTAGTTAATGATATAATGTTTATTTTAATTCGGCAATAAATCGTAACTCGTTACACCACCATGATCGGTTAACATATCGTACGGTAAAAATTTCAAACCTCGTCGTCGTGTACCTACGGCAACAATATTGAACCGTATGATATTATTGTAACGTGTTGTAGGAATAATTGCACGATCGACAAAAGTTTGACAAACCGAAAAAAACATTTGCGTGATCGTTGCACGAAAAGCGCATAGAAGACGATTTCCTCTCGGGGATGTAGGTGTAACATTTTGTCACGAGTTCGCCAATGAAAATTAAGATTTTTTTATTCTCCTATCAGTTTTCCTATCGTTCTACCTTGTGAAAGGGAAATTACAAAACATACACGAGCAAATGCACGTCTGTATGTAGATACTACGTACATGTAATTCAATAACATTTTCACGACGAATTTCGCGTTTTCGCTTCCACAGTAATAATACAACACGTAATAACAGTAACAACCATAATATATACTGCAGCAACGCATGTAACATATATTACAGTCTGTGAACCAGTCGGTGGCGCCAGACTGTGGATATAAGAGCCAAAATGCATTATTGCGGGATACGTCGTTTTTTCCTTCCCATGTGTCCCCATAATATTCAAAACTAGTTTGTCCGCGACCACGGCGTTTCTGCAAAATATAATAAAAATAATAATAATAACATTATTATAATTATTATTATCATCATTATTATTATTGTTTTATTTTCGTATTCATTCGTCGGGCGTTTGTAAATTGTGTCCACGTTAAGTAGGTAGTAAAAATATAGTAAATTGCGCCCTGGATTTTTCGGGGTCTAAAATGAGTAAAGTAAATTGCGTCCTGCTATCGAAGTGACCTTGAATTCATTATTACCTGGTATTTTTAGAACCAGAAAATGCGATTATTTTAACTATGAATTAATACCTACGAATTGTAGGCTACAATGTCTGAAGATAATCGATAATTTTCTTGCTATATTTTAAACACGTATATTTTATTCGCTGACTTTCCTCCGAATATTTGGGCATCAGCTTCCGCAACATCGATTCGGACAACTAATGCTTGTAAATCTTTCCACAGTCATTTTAATAAAAGCTTTGATACACCTCATCCTCATATTTATAATTTTATGGATAAAATATTAGAGTTACAATCTGAAATTTATATAAAAATTAATAATATAAATTAACTTTATAAATTTCAAAACACTAAATTATTCAACAATACAATGAAAACACTATTATGAGGGCTGAATATGTGAAGATGATTTCTCATTACTATGCAGATAACTTATCACTGTATTTTTTATTATCAAAATTTTTAACCTAACAAGAAATATTTAAAAAAAACTATACCTAATTAATACCATGATATTAAATAAAAAAATAATTTTCGAATTTTTATTAATTAATTTATTCATGTCAAGTAAACTAAAAAAACATTTTTGGAGGACAGTGATAGTCGCCTCCTCGTGGTGTCCTCTGGGTAATGCTAAATGACTATTACAAAAATAATATTTCTATTGGGCGCAATTTACTATACAGAAATTAGTATCTGAAAAATACAGAGCGCAATTTACGTTTGCCCCATTCGTCGCGTATTTTCACAGCCGTTTTATAATAGTTACAACGCCGCGCGACAGGTCGACCGGTTTTCGAAAATGCACGCGTCTTCGCAAAACATAGTACCAATAAAATAAGTTTTATTTAAAAATACGTATACGAATTTATTAGACTTTATAAGACTTATTCTCGTGTCTACCCTTCGTTAGTTGTGAGCATGAAATCAGTGTAATCACTAAGTATAATTACCAGTGCCGGATTAAAGATTTGTGGGCTCCTAGTCAATTAAAATTTTGGGCCCTACAACATTTTTTTTTACATTTATCTTTAACATTACTATCCAATAATTAAAATAAAAACAGCTTTAACAATAACCAACTATTGTTAATAAATAAAATCATGTTTATAACATTTTCTTATTTGCAATAAAAATGTATTAACTATTATATTATTTCTAATTTTTTCATTAATACTGTTATATATACATATATACATCAATAATTGTATTATTATTACTGCATATAACACTTACAACTTAATATATTAAGACAAAAGTCATTATGAAATATAATATATAATATATATATATATATATATATATATATATATATTATATTTCATAATGACTTTTGTCTCGTAAATTCGTAAATAAAATACAGGTATTCTTAAATAAAAAAAACAATAGTTTTCCGTTTTCACATGGTCTCTTAAATGAGTGAGGCCCTAAGCCTACTCCGCCTAATGGATAATCCGGCAACTGATTATTACAATAATAATTACGTTCATCTAACGTGTTTACCCGTAAAACCGGGTGAATATGACATATTCATTGTGTTCCTACACGAGAGTAGTAGGTACAAAAAATACGTACGTTAGTTCCTACACGGTAAAAACTAGGTAAAAAAAATAATATAACACAACGCCACGTATTTTCATTTTTTTTTTAATTTAATTTAAAATTTTAATTTTTAATTTAAAATCATTTAAAACTAGCAGTTGTTTGCCTTTTTCACTTAACATGAATGATACATTCTCGCTCATTGTGACTGATATATATGGATATGTGCGGACACACGGATGATTCGAACAATATTAACAATACTTTTAAGCTAGATGTACATTTTACTGTGTATGGTTATAACAAATTATAAGATTTCAAACCATAATCAAGTTCTGTATAATTTTTATCCGTAATGAAAAGTCGTAATAATAAGATATTTTATCTTTCCTACGTCAAGTCGTGATACTATTATCAGCCTGTAGCTTGTATTTTTCCGTAATTTCATATACGTTTTTCAGATACTCTAATATACTATACTCTATATATATTCTATACTATTACTATTACTATTCTATTCTATACTATATTATACTCTAATATAATATTTGAATATTTCGAAATTTCAATAAGAAATAACCCAACATAACGATACGTCTGTTGATGCTGTGGCACTTCTATACATTGTTTTTTATGAAGATTTTTATATATGTAAATATTTAATTTTTTCCGTCGTGCAGGAATTAACGTATGTAATTGTTTACCTACTAATCTCGTGTAGGAACTTACTATTACCCGTAAAACCTGCGGTGGTAACGATAACCGTAAATAACAAATAACGTCAATATAATAATAATATTACGTATGTATAGAATATTTCGTCCGTTACGAGACGGTAAAAAAGAAGAAAAAATGATTTTATCGTAAAGTCAAACCGTATACTATATATGTACAATATGTAAATGTACAATGAGTATAATGTGTCTGCGCATATACAGTATTATATGTGTGTGTGTTGTACAATATGTGTGTGTCCGTAGGGGTTCGATTGCAAAGGTCGAGTGGAACGGTGCGAAAGGAAGAAAGCGGCGGTCAGGAGACCCGTGTGCGGCACCGACAACATTACCTACCCAAACAGATGCGCATTGTTACGGGTTCGATGCTTCAACGACTCTCTCTTGCGCGTCAAGCACAGAGGACGGTGCAAAGGTGAGTGTCCAACTACGTTCAAATGGATATCTACAGGATAGGGTGGTTTAAAATAGTATTTTGAAATGAATATTATTAAAAAAAAAAAGAAAAATTACTTGTTTACATACCGTAATAATATTACGAGATTACGGCTGCGGTGCGGGAAATTATTAAATGACGAATTCTCAACGCTAAGGTGTAGAAATTCAAACTTTTCATTGTTAGAAATTGGCTTGAAGTTGTCAAACTTGTAATTCAACTCGCGCGCAATGGCAATAGAAATAATTCACGGGGAAAAACCTGGCCGTCGCTGAATTCTTATGAGTCATTCTCACTCGTAATATAAATTGCATTTCAGCCAGAAGTACAACACTACAAAACAGGTGCACGTTTTCTTTTCGGGCGTTCACAAATCGCCGCGTCCTCACAATGGCGTCCACGTATTTCAACGCGATCTAAAGTTAGAATCAAAATACAGTTTTTCCATCTATACGACCTGTGTGGAGTCCACCTGGCTGCGGGACACCTGTGACGGGGCGATGTGTCTGGGTGGTCTGCGCGGGTGCAAATATAATATTATAATATTATCATGATTATTGAAATCATAAAAGTTATAGAAAAAAAAAAATAAGAAGTGTACGTAAAGATCGCGAATATTGCTGAGCTATATCTAATGTATTCCGCATCAACGAACGATACAATTATACAATATTTACGATATTGCACGGAAATGTGTATTGCTAAAAATCATAAGAAAATCGTATGGCCATCCTGTTATGTCATCCACCGTTTTCGTAACGCTTAGTTCTGACCGACCTGAAAACTATACGGTAAAATTTTCTAAAAACAAACACTCCTGACATTACGGAAACTCGTCTATAATATGGAATATTTGCTTTTGCCCCACTCGAGTGGTAACGATTTTCCGCCTATGGCTTATTTTTTAATGCATTTAACTTGTAATAAATGTATAAGTAGAGAAACCGCAACGTCGTGTCTCACTATTTCCAAACTTTCTCAATTCACAAATTTAGTTTTCGATTTAAGCATGGTATCTCGTAAAGATAATATTGATTTGGCCTTAGGTATTTTAGACATGGTCGTCGCTATCAAATATTGATTTGGATGGGGGGGGGGTAATAAATATACAAATTTGCCGATTTTTTTTCTGAAACAAAATTTTACGGTACTTATATTACTACATTTTTTGATGATTAACGACTATATAAATAGGTCATTGATAGGTAGGGGATGGTATTTCATCTTCCCTAAAGCTGTCCCTGATATTAGATTTTAGTATTAGGATCAAAAATGTATTTTATTCTTCTAACAGATATCATGCCTAATTAATATATTTTATAAGACATAAAACTTGAGCAACTAGTTGGATTCTGTTAGCTTTCAATATTATAATTTATGATTTATAAATAGCTTAATATTATAAATTATGTAATAGAAAAATAGGTACGGAATAATCACAATTATATTTATTGATTGACAAAACTGTTGGTTTTATCTGTAGAAAAACAACCCTGTTGGGTAGACCAGACCGTTAAGACAGTCGATCCGACCAGAACGCCGGACTCGTACATGCCCAGGTGCAAAGCAGACGGCACATACCTCCGGATCCAGTGCCATAAAAAGGATGGATATTGTTGGTGCGTCACACCGGCGGGAAAAGTGGTGCCTAATACTATTGTTAAAGGACAAAAACCTAAGTGTGACATTGGTAGAGGTTCGTATCAACAGTTATGAGTTATTTACATGTTCTCACGCTGTTTAACAAGTCTGCGTTGGCTATATTATACTATATATACCAGTGGCACACACAGGATTTTTTTTCAGGGGGGGGGGTCAAGGTAAAAATATAACACATTTTACAATCAACAAAATTATGCAAATCCTTAATATATTTTGACTTAAATAATAGCATTGATAATAGAATAGACTATTCTATAATCAATGATACTAGGTATTCAATATTAGCTCTTCATATTTCAACTTGTAAAATTTGTAAATTTTAACCTAGACATCGGAGAAAATTTCGGGGGGGTTACAACCCCTTAACCCCCCCCCCATGCGTGCGCCACTGATATATACATCGTCAGTAGAAGAAAAAGGTGTGTTTTTGCACCGCCACCTAATTTTTTTTGAGAGAAAGTATAAAGGGGAGGTTACGTTTAGCTAAGATTTGTTTTAAAATTGTATTATTATTTTCAAATAGTCGTATAGTAGTCGGATTGGGAATATATGTGCTATAATAGTCTAATACATCTGATTTAATTCTAATCCAGATTATTATAATTTTTTTCTTCAAAATAATTAGACGGAGGTACAATATAGATGGGTGATCAACATAAAAGAAAAAAAAATTCCGGCATTTTTACCTTCCGTAACGTGCCTAACATTTTTTAAGCCATTTACATAATTTATATATATTATCTTTTGTTTCAGGTAAATGGCGCAGAGGTTCTTCACGGAAAGGAAATAATTCCAGAAGAGGTAATTATAGTTATTTTTATATTATATTATATTATACTACTCGTATACACGTATAGGAAATATTTTAAAACGGCAGTGAACCAATTTTTAACCATTCTTGAAATCGTGCAACGGTTTGGTATTATTTTTCATCGCGCAAAATGTACGATATCGGCGTAAACCTTTGAGGTCAAGAGTAAAATAATAATTACGTAAACAGTGTGGCAAAATATGTTTTTAGTTACACGTATTATAGCAATGGACCCGGAAATATGTGCCGTTCGCTTCGCACCTGGGCGTGTATGAGTCCGTACTCTTGGTGTTTATATGGATTACGTATGAGTCGAATACTTCTATCTCAAACCGAATAATTATAAGTACAATAAAACTCGCTTAAGACGACCTCTTTAAGGGACCAACTCTCTAGAGCGTTTTAAGCGGGAAAGCGTCTTATGCGGGAATGAAAACAAAAATGAAGTGATTGAAATAATATTTCAATCATATAACTCCATAATATGGAGTTAATTTTTTTATCATTGAATATAATTTAACGGTCAATACACTAATAAATTATGTATGTATATGTAATTACTAGAACCCGGATTTATATGCATTTAAAACGTGTCAAATATGATGCAAATATACAAAGAAAAAGTGGCTTAAGTGGCAAAAGAAAATATGTAATTATATGCACTATGTTACACTTTATAAAAAATTTTTTTTTATATAAACCACACTTTTATACCAAATAAAATTCTAAATATTTTATCAAAAACAAAAAAAAATTATAATATTCAATGCTTTATATTTCAAATCATTTAAATCAATCTACAACTTTTAGAAAACTTAAAAACGAGAATACAAAAAAAAAAAAAATATTTTAGATTTTATAAATATTTTAGATCATTTGAAGTTACCTACTCTCAAAAAAAAACTAATAGAAAACTTAAAAAAAAATTAAAATCTTTTAAAATAATATTTTTGAAACTCTGATACCTATCATGTCTATTCGTGCTCTATTCGAAGCGATTACAAAATTTACTGTAAATTAAAATAATTAATTTATTGAAAATCCATTAAATATGCATGTTATATTAACAAATATTCAATAACCTTTGAAATATGTAAAATATGCAATATAAAATTTGGTGTTTAAATTCGGTCTAATATGAATCGTGGACATTTTAAACCTCCTTAGGCGTGTATATATACACTATATATACACTGTATATTATACTAAGTGTATACACTTAGTATAAACATGCAAATGTATATTAATCCGGGCTCTAGTAATTACATACATGTGTACATATATTTTTTGCTACTGAATTTAATTAAAAAAAAATTTCTATTAAATATTTTATTATTGTTTATTAAAAAAATTGATATATTTTTGTTTGTTTACGATGCTGACAATGTGTTTCAGTAAGAAAGTTTTCTATTTTATTTAGACAACCCAACATTTCTTCAGAATTTTTTACAGAGGACAATACTTTTCGAATTTCTGTTAGATGTTGCAGACCAGCAATAATTGTAGGAGTAGATATTGGATAATAATAATAGATAATGATAAAATAGGTATAGCGATAAAAAAAAACGATACAACAATAAGAATAAGCAAACAAGTAAAATTTCTATTTTTATTTCCACAAACCTATTAAAATTTATCATAATTTGCTAAACAAAAGAGCGTTTTATCCAATGAGATAGTTTTAATAGGTGGTTTTTACATTGACTAGTATAGAAAATGTCTAGGGACCGACGGAAAATAGCATCTTATGCGGGAAAGCGTCTTAAGCGAGCTACTATATTTCTTTGAATTAAGAAAAAAATAAAAAAATAAAAAAAAACTGTAGCCAAATTCACATGTCATTTCAGCGACATAATTACGAGGGGTATTTGGGGGATCAACCCTCCTTGGCCTTTTTTTCCTTAGGAACATCTTAACGGACTAGCACTTTTATCAGTTTATCGGACAATAGACATGAATACTGATGAAGTAATCGATAAACTGGCAACTAAACAAAGAAAACTTGATTTTGTATTATAATTGCAAATAATAAATAATTGTAATAAAAATAAATATTTGTAGTGTGTAATTATTCTTTAAAGAGTATACTATTTGTATTCCGTAAATAAAATATTAATATTATTATTATACTACATTTAGTATTTTTTTTTTTTTTAAACTCAAAGGGGGGTGTAGGAAACGAAAATTGATTGTTTAAATATTATAACGTAGAGTAAATAATGTCGACAAAAACTTTGAATTGAAAATACCAAAGTGCATATTACTTATTATAACAATGAATATAATATAAGGTTCATAACATGAATTTTTTTTTCTTTAGAATGTAGTAAAGATGATAAAGCAACATTTGTCAGTAATTTAGTCAGAATATTCCGAACAGAATACAACCGGGAACAATACACGGCATTAATGAGCGGTAATAACTATTCAAAATTATATTATTTTGTATATTGTACATTTGTATTTTAAACACTTAACTAGTAATTTTTTTATTCAATCAGTAATGGAAAATTAATGAGTGTGTCGCTTTTATTTATCAAATTATTATGTAAACTACTAGTTTCAGCATTTATAAATATTAGTCATACCATTATTTATCATAGAAACTATCGGAATTTTCTATGAACGATGACATTTATTTATGATCGTATTTTCACATTTTTATACCTAAATTGTCTGAAAAAATTTAAACTTTCTTCGGAAATCTCAAGTTGTTCACAATTTAATCCACAGCGCCCTCCCTGAAAAAAAAATCTTACCTTGATGACATTATTCATAATTGATACACGTGAATTCACGAAATTCACGTGTCACGTGTAAAATCCAAAATAAAAACGTATAAACTTTACTTAATACTCGTACTGTACTAATAATATTTTATTAAAACTTCAAGTACATAATATAAAATTACTAATTTTACCATTATAAAAACGGATATATATTTTGGATAAACACGAATTTCACGTGACATTGTTTTAAGAGCTCTAATTCATAGTTCTTCATCGCTTCTAAAAAATTCTGGTTCTGTCATTACATGGTTCCAACCCACTCTGAATATATTCAATTTAAACAAAAATATTTGTTGACCTGCTAAAAAGAGGTTAAATTAAACGTTTATAAAATAATAAATATAGTTCTTCGATTATACTTATATTTGATTTTCTTTTAAATCTTTGACAACAAATAATAACTTTAAATAATAAACTATAAAAATGTAAACTTATATTCAAATGTAATTAATATTTTATAATTGAGACTATAAATTAAGTAAGAATGTGAAGTTCCTTCATTTCTTACATAGGTACTTACATATTTATTATTATTTGTTTAAAATAAATATACTCTTTAAGTATTTAATTAAGTTATTTTTAAGTTTTTTGCTCAATTCTATTACTGGCAGCAACCATTTATAATACAAATGGTACATTATTTTATTAACTAATAAGATCAAAGTTAACTTTTTAACTTTTTTTTATTGCTTTCAAGTACTTAGCTATTATATTTATATATCAACTATATAACATATTTTTTTAAGTTAGTTATTAACAAAATATTATATATTATGTATGTAAATACTTTATACCAATAGTTTAATAACGAGCGTAATGCATTCAAATGTAGTGAGTGATCGTTCATTAATGGACCCAATGACGTTGGACAAACGAGCCGCTGAATGGAAATTCGGTATCTTGGATATCGACAAGAACAACAACTTGACCAAAGTGGAGTACCGAGACCTGAAACGTCTAGTTCGTAAAGTGATCAGACCAAAGAGATGTTCTAGGACGTTCATTCGCATTTGCGACACCGATCGCAACAGCGTAGTATCGAAAACCGAATGGACAAACTGTTTATCGATAGACGGTAAGCGCAATGCTGAACATTGCTTCAATAGTGTTTTAATATTTTGTTTAGTAACGTACCTATCTAACTGAGAAGGGATGGTTTATGTAATGGTTTATATTGTAATGTCATTTATTGAAAAAAAAACATTTAAATAGTATATGTTTATGAATAACTTAGATATTTTTTACTTTTAAATTTTAATATACCTTCAGCTTATAAAGAAGCTAAAATATACTATAAACGTTTCCATGCTCGCACTTTATATCATCCCAATCCTCTAATCAGAAATATTGCAAATCCTACAATTCCCGGTAACCCCCAAAAGCGGTTAAAACGGAAATGGTATCATGACCTGTTGTCACCCTAATGTAAATCAAATAAAATATAAAATAATATATATATAAAAACAATTTGAAAAAATAATGATTGAATGAAAAACGAAAAAATAGTCATGCAAAAGTGTCATTAAGGGTTGCTCTTAATACTTAGTATATTTTTAACTTGTATCATATTAACTTATTGTGCCCAAGCGGTATAGATTATAGATTTCATTTAAGAATAAAAAATAAATAAAAAAAACATTTTAATGTACATTATGACTTAATATATTTATTAAACTTAATCGTGACACGACATAATTTCTATGGATTTTCATTTTTTTTTTTTAATATTATTCAAGTGTATGATTATACGGTGGCAGGGAGGGGAGAGAGCTGTGATAATTTATTTTCTGAACAGGGTAAGAGGAACAAATAATTGTTTAAAATAAGTCAATATAACATAATATATTTACGAGTATTTACATAATCGATTAAACCATAAGCATGCAAACACTTCTAATTCTTATATCATACGGAACATGGGATAAATGCCCTATAATAACTGTATGTATGTAACGGCATACATGTCACAAAAGAGATTTTAGATTTTAGACAGACAAAAAACAATAATCTGTGGCGTCGAATACATGGTTAAAGTCTGGGAAGTGCTAGACCTAATTTTGGGGTGGTCCGCTGATGGTTGGTAGGTGTCTATATCAATCCCGATAGGTTCCAAGTGATGGAATCATTAATGTCTATCCATCGATTAAAATCGGCAAATTATAAATCATTGACGTTAAAACAAGGTTGTGCAAAATTATTCTATCAACTTAACTTCCTCTTGTATAACTGTATAACAGGAATGGGCGGCGTGTATTTAATTTAACTGAGATTTTCCGGGTTTATATAACATCTAAACACCCATAGCCGGGGGAGGGGCAATGGAACTATTTTTCCCCAGGCTCCAATCTAGGAAAATGAAAAGGAGCCTCCTTTAAGTTCAGATTGATTAGAAATACTCGACGTTATCTATTAGAGATTATTGATATTCATATATTATTTCTAAACTATTTTTCTTTATGAAATATTATTACATTTAATTCAATAAAATTAACTTACATTTTTATTTAAGCGCTATTATACGGGTTAAATTTTCAGTTAATAATAAATTAATTTCTAAATAGTTTTAACTGTAGTTTATTATAGTTATAGCTGGAGTGTGATAAAATGACTATTTTATTCAAAAGTACGTCGAAATCCGCTATAGCACGTATCGATAACATCCAAGTTTTTATTTTCTATAGCTTTTTACAATTTATCTAGATAAATTTAATTTTAATTAAATGTGGTAACTGGTTATACATTTTTGAAGTTATTAAAAATCTAATTTACTGTATCGATGTATTTAAATTACCTTGATTGGTTTAAGTTTAGAAAATTACATTTTTAAATGTAAATGTAATTGTAATTGTAAATTAAATACAATGTAAATACAAACTTGGTTTGTATTTTTTATTATACCCGTATATTATGATGATTGAGGGGTCCCTGAATTAATTTTCCCTAGGCTCTAAGAATCCTTAGGACGGTTCTGTAAGCACCTAACCTCGGCACTATTCTGAACTTGTAGATACCCATTTTATCGCATTCAACAGGCGTTATCTCTAATGTTTAATGCAAATATCATATTGAAGAAATCAGGCGCAGCAGTGGTGGGGTGGTAAAGGCGTATCAAAACTTTACCTATTTAATTTATTTAAATGTAATATTTTGTGTTATTCTATGTAAATTATTGTTATATTATTCAGTCAAAAATCTTCGTATTTTATTTTTATAAATTTATAAATTGTTAAAACATTATTATTTTGACCGACTGAGCGACGATGACCATCGACTGTCAGCTGCCGAGTTCAAAGGGTTTTTTCCTAAAATTGTCTTCCATATTCGACTGTCTGAAATATATTTATATTTATTGATTATCCGTTCATTACAACCCGCATAATACTAAAATAATTTTTTAATAATAATGATAATAAATAAATATTTTTTTTTCTTTATTTGAAGTATACAATCTATACCTAAGAGGCACAATAAGTACATGTGATGAGGGTGGTTACATATATATATTGTACATTAATACTACTAGTACTAACTTAACATATATATTTACATGAAACACGGGACATGAGAAGCCATCCATCAATGACCCACACTAGAGTTTTTTTTTTTATTTATTTTTATTTAGCATGGGGAATCAAGAAGGTCACGACACCAGCTACGTTTGAGACGTCTAGGTAGATTTCCTGGAATGGTTGGGACTGTAAGATTGAGTATTAGTGGATTTTTATTGGAGGATATACGGTTATGGAAACGTTTATAGTGCGCTTTTGCTTCTTCCTGAACGGTTTTCATTTTTAAATCTGAGTGTATAGTGATGTTTGAGACATAAGGTGGGGCATTAAGTAGCTTTCTGAGGGTTAAGTTTTGGAAAGTTTGAATTTTGTTGAGGTTCGATATTTTAGGCATTACCCCATAGTTGGATACCATAAGTCCAAACTGGTTTCATTAGGGATTTGTAGATAAGCAATTTTGTGTTAACGTTAGTGTATATATTGTTATTGATGAGGGTTTTTAGCAAGCAAAAACGAACGTTAAGATTTTGGCGCTTAGATTTTGTAGGTTGAGCCCAAGTTAACCTGCGACCTAGGATTAGGCCGAGATATTTGACCTTTGTGAGTTGGGAATTTGAGAACCAAAGATGGAGACAGTAGGGCAAGGTAAGAGTCTAAGAGTGAACGTAGTATGCAAGGATTTTGATTGATTTATTTTTAACCTCCATTTTGTGTATCAATCTTCCATGAGGGTTAGATGATTTTGTAGGTAACTAGAAGCTAAGATGGGATCAGGACTTAAGGAGAGAATTACCTATCATCAGCATAGTCGGCGACTTGAATGTGAGGTGTGGTTGGATGATCTGAGGCAAATATGTTATAGAGCAGAGGGAAGAGAATTCCCCCTTGGGGGACACCCGCAGAGATTTTGGCTATGCTTGAAAAGGTATCACCGATACGAGTGTTGAAGTATCTATCAAAGAGATAGGACTTGATGATTTGAAAGAAGACCGGATGTAAAAATTTCTCCAATTTGTATAAGAGCCCGTTATGCCAGACCCTGTCAAAGGCTTGAGATATATCTAGGAAGGCACACGTGCAGTATGCTTTTTTCTCAAGTGCAAATTAAATTGAGTCAACAACTTTATGTAGTTGATGAATTGTTGAGTGGGCTTTTCTGAATCCAAACTGGGAGTCGGGAAGAATGGAGTTTGACATCACATTGGACAGAATACGTTTTAGAAAGAGTCTTTCTATGATTTTACCAAAAAAAGGCAATAGACTTATTGGTCGAAAAGAGGAGGGGGAGTCCGGAAGTTTGTTGCGCTTGGGGACCAGAATAATCGTTGAGAATTTCCATATTATTGGAAAGTAGGAAAGTCTAAGAATCGTGTTGTAGATGTGTGTGAGATGAACAATTGCTTTTTTGGGCAGACATCTGGCAACTTCGACTGTAATAAAATCAAATCCAGAAGATTTATTTAGGGAGTATTTATTTATAGTGTATTTCACTTCACTTGGGGTAAAATGTTTGACAGGGAGAGAGACTGGGAGTGGGGCAATAAGAAATTCTTTTACAGAGTTTAAGTTTTGAGGAAAGTAAATATCAATATGAGAGACAAAGATTTCCAAAAGATGTTGTTTGAATACTTCAGCTTTATTCGAATCAATAATTGCAAAGCTACCATCAGATTTTTTTGATTGAAGTATTTTGGGGTTTAGTTTTGCAAACAAACTTTGTTGCTCTCCATAAACTACCGTCTGTTGGGGAGAGATTTGTTAGATAACTGGAAAAAGTATTTGATTTATGTTTGGCCAGTAATTTTTTGAGACTATTGGATAGTTTATTATACATTTGCTTATGTGAGGGAAGCCGAGAGTGCTGATAAAGCGCTCTAGCCCTGTGTTTTTTAATTATAATTTCACGGATGTGGACCGGGGTAAAAAACGAATTTAAAGGGGGAGTGATTGGTTTTGATGATGACCAGGCCAATGATTGGATGATGTTAGTAAAATTGTTTATAGCTGAATCTAGGTCATCTTTCGATTTAAGTTTGACATTAAGTTTAATACGATGATCTACAAGATTGTGAAATTGTTATTTATTAGTAGTGCAATTAAATAACTTTGGAGATATGCAACGTAGAGGGGGAGAGATATTTAGAGTTAGGATTACTGAGGGAATGGTCGGAATTTAGATCTAAGATGCTAGCAGTATTAGCATGTATGTTATTTGGAATTTTTGCCACAAAGATATCCAAAATATCAGGATTTTTACGAACTGAGATCGGCTAATATGTTAGTTCTGGAGGAGCGAGAATTTCAAAATGTTTTTGGGTTACAAAATCATGAAGAGTTAGTCCGTGTGGATTGTTTGCCCGGCAACCCCAAGATTGGTTTTTAGCGTTAAAATCTCCGCCGATTATGAAATTGTTACTAGTTACTGTGTTAAAGTAATCAGACATTTTTTGAAATGTGATTTTATTTTTGGGAGGGGCGTAGATAGCAACTATAGTGGTAGGAATATTATTTAATTTTTATATTATAGCACAAGATTGCAAATAGTCTTAACAGAAGTTAGGGAGTTGTCGAAAGAGGATTGAGGATTTTATTAAAATTGCAACACCACCATGAACCTTGTTGTCAGGATGGTTTGTTTTTAAAAGATTATATCCAGGGATATGTATTTTTGAATATTTCGTGAAATGGGTTTCTGTAATTAGAGCTAAGTCATTGCGTTTGTTATGTAAAAATGTTTGGAACTCATTGACATGGTTTTTTAAACCATTTGCATTGAACTGCAATATTAGAAGTGATTTCGAAGTAATTGAGTTGTTTGACATCTTAATTAATTAGTAGTTTTTCGATTACTTTGGTTAGTAGTGACAGTAGTGGGTTAATGAGGGATTTAAAATCATCAAGGAATTTTGTGAGCATGTTGTTTAAATCGGGAATGGTTGGAGGGACTGAGTTGTTAGAATGACTGCCTGAAGTTACCTGAGCGTAAGTAGAGTTACAAAAATGAGATTGATTTGGGTGAGTGTCATTTAATGGATTACTATCTTTGACATTGAAAGAATTAATTTTAGAGTTATTCGTTATATAATTACTTTTGGTGTTTGGTTTTTTGGCACGCTGTAGATCCTTGTAGGCAGAACAACCTTTATAACTAGCTGGGTGGTTACCTGAGCAGAGGGCACATTTTGGTGGATCCGTACGTTGGTTTGGACAGTCGGGAGATTTGTGGTCATCACCACATAGGACACAACGGGGAGGGTAGCACCAGTATGTTTTCGTGTAACCATAATCCTGGCAATTGTTACATTGGCTGATAGTTTTTGCTTTGTACGACTCTTCAACTTTAACTTTAGTATGAAGGAACGAAGACAGTTGAAAATTTTCTTAGACTTGATTGATGGCTCAAGATCAACGAAGAAGAGTGGTAGTGGATTTTTCGTTACTTTGTGAAGTACATTAGTAACATTTCTGACTTCGAACAGACGAAGTTCAAGTTCTTCATTAATTTTATTGACGTCTGTCGAGGGATGAAGATTACGTAAGACAACACGAATAGATTTGTCTTCTCTTAACTGATATGTATGAAATTGTGCGTCTTGATCTTTCAAGTAGCGAACAAGTGCTCTATAAGATTCTGGGTAAGCAGTTTGTATTTTCAACCGGTCAGTGGATGCTTTACAGAAGAATTTGTCCATACCTATGAGCTCATTAATTTCTTTGCATACTTCTAAGTAATTTACGAAGTAATTATATAACACCTCTTACGAAGATCGGAGGAAGAGGTTTGAAAACATCGTTGGTGTGTTATTATTTGGCATATTATTTTATGACAAAGTCGAATTTGTGATCGGTTCGTCATTTTGAGATAAAATATTGAAGCGATTTGCTGTTTTGAATAGGTTTTTTTTTTTTTGTGCAGTTGCTGATATAGGGGAACCTGTAGTGGATGTAGAAGAAGAAGAAGAGTGATTTCTTTTATCGGTGACAACAGTAAAGTCATCCTTAGAATTATTAGTCTCCATTGTTTTGACAGACATAATATTTTTACTATGTTTCTGTGGTTTATTGATTACAGTTAAATTGTTTTTGCCGATTGTTTGGTTCCCATTTTGTGTTGTTTTTCGATGTATGCATTATAATTAACGTTATCGGTTAGCAGCGGTGGTTGATTTTAATTAATGAGACCGCCTAGCGGTGGCCTGCAGATAAGACGACGTCGTGCGAGACGGTTACGTGATTTACTGTATTGCGTAATATTACGTATATATATATTGGGTATGCGGTTATCCCACGAGGATTTACTAATTCCATATTCCACGTGTTGTCAGTTATGGACCACACACCCCCTTATGTGTACACAAAAAATTACATGAACTATATCGAGTGAATCTTTGAGGAACGCCCCGCAGCATAAGCATTGTGCAGAATAATTTCTACACAGTGTTTCACTATATTGAAAAATATGAAATAATTACGATAATGATTAATAATTTTTCTTCCTTTTCCTTAATACTTAGGAGAAGGTTCTATAACTTTTTTAAAGTTCATATTATAGATACACCGTATTGCAAGTATTGCAAATTTATACCGATTTAATAATTTTATTTTATTATGTCAAAATAGCGGAAACGTTAAGTAAAAGGACCACAACGAGTGCGCCGTCAACAACCACAACAACGACCACGACAACCACGACAACAACAATTGCCCCATTGGATGACTACGATGATAAGGGCGACGAGATTGGACTTGAGGAAGCTGATCCTGAAGACAGTAAGTATAAAAAATTCCTTCTTGACGAAAGATTGACAAATTTAAAATGATAATATTAATAACAATAACAACACTATTTTTACTAACAGTACTGCAAGAAAGCGTAGCTACACTGAGCGGTACCCTTCCGGGACTGATGGCCGAAGGAGATCAAGAAGAAGAATCCGAAGGTATTTATTTCAAAATAGTTTGTTCCCCGATAGTTGACTACTGCTCTATAAGTACTTTTGTGAAATGTTAATAAGTTAACGTATAATATACGTAATATACGTGTCATATTATGTATGACACGAAAAATTAAAAATCGTTACAATTACATGATAATGTACTAAAAAAAAAATAGTCGTTGGAAAAGTCCAAAGTTACGAGACCTTGACGCTAGTCGTATCTCATTTAAGATCTAGTGATTTACGGTTTTTTTTTTTTTAAATGAAACGCTAAAGAAATAGAACTCCCCAAAACGTTCTTGTTGCACACTCACAGATATTCAGTATAAATAATGCGTTAACATATAAATTTATGACCTAAAGTAAATTTAAATAAATTTGCGTTAAAAACACGAAAACGATATAAACATTTAATTTACCTATATTTCCAGCACACTCGTAATAAAAATCATTTTCAAAAATATGAAAGGCTTAAATTATTTGAAAATGGACCTTTGGCCTCACGTCATAATAATTAAAACGTATATGATAAACGGCCACAGCAATTAAGAGATTAATAATAAAATATTACCAAGAAATATAGCTTTTAAGTTACAATTAGCAATACAAAATTAAGTATTCAAATCCATAGTATATGTTGCATACATTTAATTTCCATTCCAGTTAATGATTGTTTAACTGACCGACAAGAAGCTTTAGACGATTCAACGGCTTCGTCCCATAAGTACATACCAGAATGCACATCAGACGGTAGATATAAACGAGTTCAATGCTACAAATCAGTAGGTAAGTTAATCGATATTCCATTATATCGTTAGATTATATTAATTTTTTGAACGTCCAGGTTACTGTTGGTGTGCCCAAGAAGACACGGGAAAACCAATACCAGGGACATCTGTAAAAGACTCTAACCCTAAGTGCGATGGGGTTCCATTACTTTCGCGACCAATGAAAGGCTGTCCGGAACACAAAAAAAATATTTTCTTAAAAGATCTCATGGATTATCTAAAACAAAAACACAGGTTTATTTTACATAATTATGTTTTATTTTAAGCAACCAATAGATAATAATTTCGCTTGTTTTAATTGTGTAATGCTTATAGTAAAAACAACACTTTGTTTCCGAATGACTATGAATCTATTATATCGGACATTTTTCATTATTTGGATACAAACCACAATAAAGTAAGTAAATGTGATAATTTCAATACTTATTCTACATTGATAAAATAAATAATTCATCACTATTTTAAAAATTTGCAAATCATAGGTTTTGGAACGCAAAGAATGGAAAAGTTTTCGTGAAGAAATGTCAGGTGAAAATAAATTAAGACGATGCGGAAAAAAATTACCTCGGCATTGTGATGTAAATCATGATAATAAAATTAGTTTTACCGAATGGTTAAACTGTTTAAATGTAAACCATGTTCAAACTCAGACACAACTGAATGGTAAATTTCTAGGTAAATCATAAAATTGCAGAACACATTTTTCATTATTATTATTTTTTTTTTTTCAGAAACCAGTACAACTATAATTGCAAAAAGGAGAGGTCCTAATCCTCTTGAGTCATACCTTAAAGGTGATGACTGATGATTGACTGAATGAATAAAAAACAAATAGAATGCAGCAAAATGAATTTATTAAGACTGTTTGTAAATATATATATTGTAACAGCTTTATTAAAACTACTACTATTATATATAATATATATTTTGAAAATACTATATTATTGCTTGATTTTAATATAAATATAAATGTTTATACTATAAATTTTTGATTTTTATAAAACTAATTTGTAATAAAATAAAAATATTATTATTAATAGTGTACATCAGGATTTATAAAATATTTATTATACTTAAAAATAATAAAAGAATATAATATGAACTTTAAAAATAAAAAGATAAGTAGTAACAGGCTATGTTAAAAAAAAAAAAAAATGATCATTATTTTTATAATATATTATATTAAAATATATAAGGCCCAATTGAGTCATAAATCTAAACATTATATCACAGATTATACAAAATTAAATTTTAATGAATTGTATCAAATTGTTAGCTTTGGCTTAGGATTTTATTACTTAAGAAGTACCATTATTGAGTTAAAACTTTGACTCGTTGATTAAAATAAAACTATCACACTTTAGCTTACTTACAGTACAAACAAAAGAAGAAAAAACAAGTATAAAAAATAAATAAAATACGATTATTTGTTCCATAAACAGACTTAAATAATAAGTGAGCTAAACGTTCCTGTTAGTTAAAGGATTTTTCGATGTTTTATCTAAGAATGCATAATATATAACTTGTAAACATTATATTTAATAGCTTATAACTAATGAGTAGTTGATATATTATTCCATTCATCTGTGAAAAAAAAAATTATTATTAAATTTAATAGGCTACTGAATAAAAACAATTTAAATATTAATAAAAATAGGTATAATTCAAATATTCAATAAAAATAATAAATTATTTGATAATAATTATCAAATTGGTTTAAAAATAAAACGCAAAATTGTTACATAATAATGTTTTCAATAGTTAGCTAACAAATTTATATTATTTATTAGTTTATGTATAATATAAAAGTAAGAAAATATAAAACTAAAATTTATATTTAAAATATTTGTCAAGTTTTTTTAAAAATGTAATTAATTTTAATAATTACATTTTTATTATATAAAAATAGAAACTATAAAAATGACTTTTGATCACAAGACTTATAGCATAAAATAGTATATCAAATAAAATACTATATCTATGTAATAATAAAGAACTATTATTTATTGGGGTATTTTTAAATAACATAATTGATATGTATTAACCTATTCTAGCTGCTATCAAAAATTTACCAGAGAAATTTCAAATACAAAAAAAAAACTATTTCATCTGATAATCAAGAAATAAACCCAAATATACATATATATATATGAATTTTAATGTATACACCCGATATCTACTTAATTATTCAAAAATTATAAATATTAATTATATGAGTTGATAATCATAATATACTATAGTATAAACTTACATACATAAAAAAAAAATATTAAAGATATATGCTTGAACTTTTCCTTGTATTATATATTATTTAGGGATAATGATTGAAAATAAAAATCATAATTCTACAGTTTGAATTATGTTTACAAGAAAATGAAGTAGGCTTACCATGTTGATGGTTTGATGACTATAGCGTTGTGTATTTAAGTTGTTTGGTTTGTTGGTTACCACGTATTTTTTAAGGATCAGAACCATGTTTAATAGATTTTTATAACAAGTATTTACACTATCTTATAGTACATACATGCCACCATACCATTATTTGAAGAAAAAATAACTGACATATGTGTTTACAACTAATGATAGTAAATAACAATTATTAAACTAAACACATACAAACATTTAATACTACATATTTTTTTTCCTATAATGACATCAAATTAAATTCTTAGAATATCTAATTCATTTCTGAATAATCAACATTTATTAATGAAAATATTGTTTAAAACGGTGTTCCAAATATGGAGTTGTCCAATATTATCCAACATAAAATGTTACATAAAATTAAAAGATAATTCCTATATTATAGTATTTATAAACATTTAAATTAACTACGAAATAATTTAAAATTGTGTCAACTGCATTTTTTTCTTAACCATTGGTTAATATATAATTTATAATAAATAAAACAGTTTAATAGATACAACAATAATTATGTTAAATTTTAAGACGTTAATAAGTAGATTATAAAGTTAGTTATTAATTTAAATATGGTATATTTTCAATAATTTAGGACCTAGCAATATATATTACCAACTAACAAATACACAATAAAATGGTAATGTACAATTAAAAATTATCAATAATAATAATTAAATATCGTAAGAACTAATAAATGGTATTAGTTATCTTAAATAAAATATTTTGATAAATATCACATAAACATACATTCATGTGTTATTAAATTAAAATAAAACAGCAATTTTTTTTTCCAATTACATGTTAACATTAAATATTTTATTTTTTAAAAATGATAAAATGTTATCGATTTTTATATATATTTAATTATATTTATCTCAATATTCTAGAACTATGGAGTAGGTATAATAACTATAGAGCCCAGATTTATATGCATTTGCATGTTTGCGCTAAGCGTATGCACGTCTATGGAGGTTTAAAATACCCATAATTCATATCACACCAAATTTAAACATCAAATTTTATATTGCATATTTTGCATATTTTGAGGGTTATTGCATATTTGTTCATAAATGCATAAATCATGAAAATTTAATGGGTTTTTAATAAATTAAATATTTTAATTTACAGTAAATTTTGTAATCACACACAATATACAATATACATTAAATGACAGCCTGAGAATATTGTAGCCTCATAGAGGGGTGGGAATGATGAAAAAGTATTACTTTTTTGCTCCGATGCAGTACCATATATGATTAAAACTGGTAAAACACTAAACGTATATTATATATATTATACACATTTAATATCTTACTCACATGATCCAGCATCTAGTAGAAAAAGTTAGAGAAATGTACCCCAATGTAAATACTTTGGTTAGTAATTTAAAAAGTTTTTCTTAAAGCATCTCAGAGAGTAGATATATACTACAAAAAAATAATGCCCAGTGTGCCTTTGCCGCCAGAACCAGTACTAAGAAGATGAGGGGCATGGATTGAAGCCACTAATTATTATATAAGTACAGACTATTTTGATGATCTTAAAATAATTTTACAGAAATTAGAAGATACAACTGTAGAAGAACAAGAATCTGTTAAAAGTGACCTTACATTTATTCAATCTCATTTTTTTATACTAGTTAAAAATATAAAAAATTTGGAACATTCTAGTTTAAATTTATATGTTTCTACTCCAAAAGTAAATAATGTTATTTTGGCAATGGAAAAAGTATTTAATTGAAAAAAATGTTTGATTCCAAACTACAAAGCAGATAACAACAATTTTGTCAGGGAAAAAAAACAGTATCATGCCTCCAAATGTAATTCCTTCTATGTGTTCATGTGTGAAGTTTGCACCGATAACTTCGGTGGATGTAGAAAGGTCTTTTAGTACGTATAAGTCAATTAAAATTGAAAAAAGAACTTCAATGACATCAGAAAATATGGAAAAATATATTATTATTCACTGTTATGAAAATTGTTAATAGAACCTATTTTAATATTTTAATTTAAATTTATATTATTAATGTTTAAAATATTTAAAGTTTCAAAAATGTTATTTTAAAAGATTTGTATTTTTTTAAGTTTTCTATTAGATTTTGAGAGTAGGTAATTTCAAATTATCTAAAATATTTATTTTTAGTTTTTCTTTTTTATTTGTATTCTCATTTTTAAATTTCCTAAAAGTTTTAGATTGATTTAAATGATTTAAAATATGAAACAGTGGATATAACCATTTTTTTGGTTTTTGGTAAATTTAGAATTTTATTTAGTATAAAAGTGTGGTTTTTTTTTTTAAAAACACATTTTATTAAGTAAATAATGTATATAATTGCATATTTGCATCATATTTGACACTTTTTAAATGAATATAAATCCAGGCTCTAATAATAACTTATTTAAAGTACCATATAAGATCAAATTTAATTAATTGATAAATAGTAGATTGAAAATAATGCTTTTTTTTCTAAAAGTTCTTTTACTTTTTAAATCTAAATTATATACCTACATAATTATAAATATAATAAAACTGTTACATTTAAAATAAAATACAAAACCAAAATATTAAAAAAAATTAATTGACTGTATAAAAATATTAAAAAAGGTCTTATAAAATTGGTAACTTTCATTATTTCAAAACACAATACTACAAAAGGATTTAATTTATTATTATTACTATTTTTAAATTAGTTAAAAATGTTATTAAAATATTAGTCAAAAATTAATACTTCTAAATTATTAGTTATAATTTTATTATACAAAAATAATTGATCTACAATATATCATTAATTTTAATTAATGTTTTTTTTATTATTTTAGTAAGTGTATTCCAAGAAGGAATACTTAAATTTTTTTGATTAATTAATATAAAATGAATATTAATTACTTTTTCCTAGTTAGTTATAATTAGTTGTATATAACCAACTATAATAGTTAGTATAGTATTAAATAATTAAGGAGATGTGAAGAAGTAGAAGACTATAAAGACATATATGGGAAATAATTTTATAAGAACATGGTTTGTACGGCGATTTCTGACCAAACAATTGATATCAGAGCCAAACTCTGTAATTTTATAAAACGATATGAGATCAAAATGTTTTTAAAACGAAGAGTTAAAATACATCATTGCATTTTTAAAAAACGTTAATTACTATTTAATAAATAAAATTATTCATAATTACCATTGTTATTAACTGTTGTTTCACATCTTGCAAGATTATCTTCTATTTCTAACTCTTGTGCTTGTAATCCTAATTCACGTTCTTCTCTTCTTAATCGATTCACTTCACTCATCAATTCACAATAAGTATGCAAAAGTGATGGTTCATCTTCATTTTCTTCATTTCCTATAAAATCAAAAATTAACCATCTCTAAGAAAAATATATTTTTTATAGCCAAAAAGTGAGTTAAAATATCATAAATATAAAATAATACAATTATTAAATTAACTTCCAATGCACAAAATATGCAACTAAGGAAGAAATAAAAAAAAATAAAAATATTACCTTCTCCTCTTAGCTTCTTTTCAACTTCAACACCTTCAGCTTCTAAAGTTTTTAGTTTAACATCTAATTCTTCTAATTTTCTTTGAATTTCTTGCGCAATACGTAACCTTTTAATAATTTAAGATAATAATAAATAAACATTTGAAATTATTTTCATCACAAACCTTTTGTATTGTGACTGTCTAGCAATTTTAATTTCAGCCTTGGACATTTTACCATCTGCACTTAGAATACTAAGATCATCATTAACTTTATTGTTTTTGACTTCATCATCGGTAATAACTATTCAAAAATGTACATATATACTTAAAAACATACAAAATAGACCAGAGTATCCCTTGTTTTTTCATGTCAGATTTATGTTATGACATATAAATATGATTTATATTATAAATAGTATGTATTTAAATACCTAATGATTGAGGATCAATAATATTATAACACGATGGTAATGGTGGTATAGGTGGAGCCAATGAATCTATTAAGCGTCGTCTGATTTCTGATTCGCTATTTGATTTATATTTTACAGGCTTGTCTCCAACCGCTGGAATTAATTTTTTATCCTAGAAATTAAAAAGTTAAAAGTAAAAATGTTTATTACTTAACAAAAATGGATCAATTATTCTTTAACAAATAGAAAACTTAAATTATGTTAATTTAATACTACAATTGTTGAGTAAGCTCATGGAAAATAAAAATAAATACTAAATGTCCACAAAAACTATATGAGTAAATAATCAAATGAATTAAAAAATAAGCAATATTAACTATTATGTGTATTGTGACTACTATCTATCATACGTGGTTTTTAATAACTAAAACTAGACAAATTGTTCTACAAATCATTTAGTAAAACAATTAAATAAAAAATTATTCTTAGAGAACATACATAATCTCCAATGAAAATAGCAACATTATCTGCAGACTGAAATTTAAAAGGTAAAATGAATTATTAGTAATCAAATTGTATATTTTTTTAACTATAATTATTATTAAATAAATATAAAATTAATGATTTTATTCTAAAATTTAAAATCAACTGTCAATAATTGAATAAAAAAAAAATTATCCTTGTTTGTTTTTTAACTATAAACTTTTAAATATTTATTTTTAGTGAAATACATTTTTTAAACCTATCCAAAATTATTTCTAAAAATAGGGTTAAGACTTAATCTATTTAAACAGTTATAGTTAAATAAAAATAAAGTATTATAGCTATATAATATACACCCACACATATACTATATATATATACAAAAGTTATAGTCAAATCACAATTTTGCAATTTTAATTTTGGAAATTAATTATTATCACATAAAGGGCAATAAGTTAAAATTAAAATGTAATACATTTCATGGCTTTCTATAAATTATTGAATCTCCTATATAAAATAAAAATTCAAAAATTCAAAAATTAACAAAATTATTTGATGACTTGCGTAAGTTTCAGTATTCTCGATTTTAAAATCAATTGAATTAGTAATTATTAATTAAATTACTGCTGTATAAATATTTTTAAAATTTGTGTTACATCTCTTCAGTGATGTATTGCTAAAATAAATCAAGGGTATACGTCTTATTTTACTTATTTTATATAGTAACTATCATATGGTAGGAACCAAAAAACTCACTCATAAACTACACATCTTTAATTATGATCGTTTGATAACAGAAACCTGTTATTCAATGATAACAAATTTGAATTTTTCATTAAAAAAAAAATAAAATAAAATAATAATAAATCCAATACCAAGTCACGTCATAAATGTAACCACAAGTTAGGTTAGTCAAGGTATTATGTAGTTATTTGTCAAATTACAAGCTATACGCCATAGATAAAAATAGTGTATTAGGTATACGCTGTATACCCCCGTATACCCTCCAATACATCACTGCATCTCTTTAAGAACCATAACTAAATAGTTAGAAAGAAGCTATTGCAACATATAACCGGATTTTCGTTGCCAAACAAGACATTTTTTTCAGAATCATATAACTTTATACTCCATTCACATGAATTTATTTAAAAATTTGAAAATGTTGGTATCCTATTTAAATCTTTTCTGATAAAACTATATAAAAATATTGATACACATCATATACTCTAAACTGTATGGTAAATAATTTTTAGTAATTATATTGCTTATTTTTTTTTTTTTTTAATATCCTCAAATTATACGAGGTTAAACTTTGGTCGCACATTCCACGCGCCGCTTCATGTGGTCTTCGGTCAGCTGTTTCGGCACCCATCGGGCAGAAACTTTGTGATACTGCAATTTGTTCACAAGGATATGACGGATTGTTTCGCTGCTACACACTCCTCCAAGCTTCTCTTCCAAGTCCCTAATTGTCGCACGGCGGTTTTTGAGCATTTCTGCCTCCACTGCTTGAACAATCGCATCCGAGACCGACGGTCGGCCACTTCTCTCCTCGTCGTGAACATTAGTGCGCCCGGAATTGAACTCGCGGCTCCACTTACGCACGTTTTTTATGTCCATACACTCTTCCCCGTAAACTTCAACTAGTTGACGATGGATTTCAATAGGTGTCACCTTTTTCGCACTCAAAAAACGTATTACAGAACGCAATTCGCACTTGGACGCTGACGCGAAGGGTACCTCCATCGTTGACGGCTGCTCAGCCAAGACTGAGCGGTCGGGGAAGCCTCACCCAGCAGCAAAGTGGTAGTGGGGGAACCAAGGAACACGGCGGTGTTGCCAGATTTCGCCTAGCGCGTGATCCGGCGAAGTTGCAGCGTTGGAGACCTTACTTTATTGTCAGCCCTCGTATTATTTTGAAATTTTTTTGTGACACCTAAATGTCTATTGTTATCCACATTTGAGTTGTGACCCGTAGTTTGGGAACCAAGTCTGTATATTTTTTAGACATTTTGTAATGCCTGTTAATTTTTAGCAAAATATTCAATTTCTATATTACTTTAAACTAAACCTAAAAATTTGTGTTGAGTATTAATAAAAATTGGTCAAAGATGAACATTTATTAAAAGTTAAGACATTTAGGTGTCACAAAAAAATAACATAATTTGAGGATATTTAAAAAAAAAAAAATAAGCATTATAATTACTAAAAATTGTTTACAATACAGTTTAGAGTATATGATTTGTATCAATAGTTTACATTCAATTATATAGTTTTGCCAGACAATATTTAAATAGGATATCGACATTTTCATTTTTTCATTGCATTTATAAAATGTTTGGGAATTTCTACCATAAATTAATATTTATACCAATATAATATGTATGGGTGATAAATTATTACATTTTATTATTAACAAACAAATACCTGAGATTTTTCTTTTGTTTTGCCACTTATTAGAAACTTAAACTTCGATGGAGATGTTTGTTGACTAGGAGAACGTATTTTACTTGATGAGGGTGTTTTCTTTTGAAAAAAAGCAGCCATGACCGTTTGTGTAATACTTCGTTTCCTTTCTGGGCGATCATTTTTCATTTGATCATTTCTTTTAGGTGTGTCACACTATATTTGATGGAAATTAAAATATATATTAGTATATAATAGTATATATAAATATATAATTTACTAATTACACTAATAAATTATAAGTTTAACTCACCAAGGCTATATCAAAATTAAATTCATCAATCGATTGGCAACTTTTACTTTTAGACAGTATTGAAAGTCCATCACATTCACTTTTTACTGCTCTTCTTCGTTCTAATTTTTCTCTGAGTTGTCTAATTTTATCTTCAGGACTTATACCTAGTTCAGAATCACTCTTTAGTCTAGCTCTGGCCCTAGCATTTTCACGTATTTCTTCAGTGGATTTCAATATTTCAGCAATACTTGATGTTGGGGTCTTTTCATCAAATAATGCTTTTCTAATATCTGGTAAAGAAAATGCTTCTGAAGAGGAAATTTGTTTAGTGGAATTGGTTTTTCGTTCACTCAAAGGACTTTTAATGGGAATAAGAAGAGATGAAGGGCGAATTTTTGAATCTGTATTATATTGATTAATTGATAATGGTTTTGTAAATTCAAAATTTTCTGAATTAGACTCTGGAGAAAAAGGAGAGCTTCTGTTACGGCGTTGTTTTCTTTCATTTGGTAATTTACTTGGTATTTTACTCATAACCATATCATGAATTAAATTTTTTTCTTTCATTCTTTCCTGAGTTATTTGTTGAAGCTTAAATATGGTAGAATTTTGTTCATTTATATTTCTTTCTTTTGAATCATTGATTTCTAGTTTTTCTCCTTTACTATTCTTTTTCATTTTACGTATATCAATGGTATCTTTTATGTTGTTAAATGGAGTAATTTTCTCTTGCAAACGTGTTACATACTCCTGATATGTTTTATTTGTGTCTACATCAACAATTGGAGTCAAAATATCATCTTCAACATTATTTATATTATCTTTAAAATCCATTACTGTGACTAGATCACTTGTTGTTGTAGTATCATTATCATCCTTATCAACTGACAAATTATAAATAGCATTCAAAGTTTCAACTACAGGGGTTTTTAGTTCATCATCCATTTGAGGATTAGTTACAAATTCTACATAGCCAGTATTGTGAATCAATGTTTGATTTAATGCAGCAACATGTTCATTAGAATCGTTGTCACTTATGGTATCCATAAACTCAATATTTTCACTGTCAATTTTTCCACATATATGACCATACTCATCTAAATCTTCATTAGGTCTTTTTTTTGGAGAATTTCGAGGTTTACGTTTTGATTTGGGCCTCTGATGTTTTCTATAAGTTAATGATTTTATTGGTACAGGTACAAAATCATCCCATGCTTCAGATACTCCAACATCATCATCTCTAGCCCAATCAGAAAGTTCAGTTTCAGTCTGTCCTTCAACAGTATGATCTTCATCATTATTACAATCAGGTCTATGATCAACATGAATATGAGAATCTGGATGAACTATTTCATCACTATTAGTTTTTGAAATATCATTCATAAATAAATCAGCAGTAGTAGAAACATGTTTTAATACTTCACCATTTCTAACATTTTTATCATTAATCGGACTTGGAACAGTAATAATTTTATTAAATCCATTATCTGCGTACTTTTGCATACATTCTGATTCAGTAAGCTGTTCCTTTTGTTCTGCATCATTCATAAGTTCACCTCGAGAATTATGGATTTCCAATTTTGGTAAATTATGGTTTTCTATGGGAATATCATTTTCATCAGATAATACATTAGGAATTTCCAAATCATTTTCTGTATCTATTGAAGTATCTGTTGATAAAGAATCAGATTCTATTTTATTTATACTTTGGGAACGATGAAATTCTGGTACAATTATAGAAGTTTCGTGTACTGGACTACGAGGACGTGATTCAATATCATTTACTTGATTATGAGCATTATTAACTTCTATTATTTTATGATTATTTTCGTTGTTCTCATTACAGCCATTATCTTCAGAGTGTTTTAAACAAACATGTTGAAACTCATTAGTTTCTGATAGTTCTTTTGATTTTTTTTCATTTTTATTAACAATAGGATTTACATTTTGTGAAAATGTTTGTACTGTGGGATTGGTTATAGGAGCTGGGTTTAATTTTTTTTGATACTCTGATATTTGATCAACAAAGCTTTTGAATTTTGTATCTAAAGTTGTAGAAGAGCCAGATTTTTTTACAGCCATTCCATTGCCATTACCAGCCAACAAGTACAATTTTTTCAGCTCTAATGAACGTTTAGTAGCAATACCTTCAGTAGATTGTGTTCGATTAAGCTCATAACCAGGGTTAGCAAATGGAATAAAATTAGGACGATTTTGGGCTCTATTTAAAATTTCTGCTATTTTTGGATTTTCTGGTACTAAAGGATCTACTTTTGTTTCTTCAACAACACGTTTTGATTGAATGCTTTCACTAACGATTATATTTGGAATACTGTGTTTTGTTGGTGTTTTATCATCCCGTTCAAATTCAGAATCTGTAGATATTTCTGTCGCAGAATTATTACCTGAACTTGTTGAATAATAATCAGTTGCAATCTGAAAAAAAAATTATTTTAAATACAGTTAAAAATATAATTATTATTGTGTACAGAAGATAAATATATAGGTGATAATTTAATTTTCAATTTCCAAATTATTTGAATAATATTTATTATAGTAAAAAGTTGAAGAAAAAATGGTTGGATGTAATCATATATATTATATTGTTGGGTAAATTATGGAAAATTTTAAAAATATTGCATGCACAACAATAAAATTATCATTAGTATAATAAATTATTTATAGATAAAATGATCTTAAATTATTTACATTATACATAAAATATAATTAAGAAGTTTTATGAAATCTTAAGGAGGAATATTTAATTAATATTTGTATAAGTAAATGAGAATTTACAAAATATATTGAATTATTTACTTTTGAATTAATATCACTTGGATTAATTTTATTCTTATGAGTTATAAAAATCTGAACTTAAACCTTAATAAAAATAAGACAGTCGAAAACAATACTTAAATTCATAACAATATAATCTTTGTTATATAATTATAAAATTATGGATAATATAAAACTTCTTAAAAATATTTAACATATATATTTGTACATATATTTATTGATAAATGTAAACAAAATTCTATGACCTTGATGTTTTCTATTTCTTTGTTGTATTTATTAGATATAATTAGTTATTAGACCTATTGGAAAAAAAAAAATCATGATCCCCCAAATATACAAATATATGTGGTTCTAAATTATAAAAATATATGTTATTATTACGAATACACACATGTATGATTAATATACTTATACGAAAAATCATCCAGTATTAATAAACAATGATATATATATATATATATATATATATATATATATATATATAATTTTGTAAAAGACAAATAACAAAAACAAGCCTTTCTCCATAACATTAAAAATTCAAACAGCTAATTGAAAAACAAATAAGAACACATGTTGAAATATATATTCGGGTATATTTCCTGTTATTGCTCAATTCATTTATATTAAAAATTGAACTGAATAGATAGTTTGTTAGTTCATCTTCTTTTAAGATCTGAAGAACATAAATATGTGTAATATATTAGTTAAATTCACAATAGTCATAAGATATAAATGACATAATATAATATTAAATACAAAGCTTTAATACAATTACTAAAACACAAAGAAATCAAAAGAAACACAAAATTCCCATTGTTTTTACCTGATTTGTAAATCCCATTATTTGAAACATCAGAGAAAGGCTTATCATGTATATCTGTGAACATTCTGTACTATGTTTGCTAGCTTAAATTGTAATATTTATTTATACATTAAATATAATGCAAGTAGTTAAAAAATAGTATATTAAGATTTACATAACAATACATTCTTTTTTAGGTTGTTTATTTTCATATTTTTTAATAGCCTTCTCAACTGTTGGTGTATATTTTGGAAAAGGTTCTGTAGTAACTATATTTAATTTATTTGGGTTATTAAAACTTTTAGAAACAACAGTTTTTTCTGATAAATCAGAACCATTTGTATAATTATTTAACTGTATAGTTCTATTATCTTCAATAAAATCTTTCAATTTTGGCTGATTTAATTCTTTTTCAGTTTTATTTGGTAAGTAGTCTGATGAAGTCTCATTATTTTCTATATCATTAAATATATGAGAATGTTTATTATCACTGAAACATATGTTCTTCTTTCTTAAATTACTAACTCTTGCCATCGATTCATTAATACAATTTATATTATCTGTTTTTGTACACTTAGAAATTGGGCTTTCATCATTTTCTAGTTTTTGTACACATTCAATGTTTGGAAAAATGATTCCGTTATGAAGATTATTAGAATTCACAGATAAAGATGCATTATTTATATCATTTTCATCATCATAATTTGATAGAAAATTATACTTTTCTATAGAATACGGTAAAATAGTATTAACCACATTAATATCGGTACTTTTAAAATTACTATTGATGCTACAATTATCTGGAACAGGTACACTCAGAGATATATCAATAGTACTATTATTGGTTTCATTTGATATTGAACTAGCACCATTTGTACAAATCAAAGATTTATTATGTTCTAAAAATATGGATGGAGCAAAACATATCACCTCTGTATCAGATCCAGTATCTGTAGTAGCTGCTGATATATTAGGAATACGTAAACAAACTTCCTGTTTTCTGATTTCCCGTGCTTTAATTTCTTCTTCTCCTTCAGTTGCAGTGTCACTTTCATCATCTAAAACACATTCAAAAGTTTTTAACTTTGATCTTTAATTAATAAAATATATCATAAATAATTGTGTAGAAATATAAATATTTAGTCAAATTACCACCACTATCAAATTCTTTATAACTGAAACGATCCTGTGACTCATCGGATTCATTTTGTGAACTCAAGCCATCATCTTCTATGTTAATATTAGATAAATTGTCATTTTTAATATTATTTGGCAGTGGCTTTTGTTCTTGATTATCAATATTTAATTCAGGATTTTGATTCTCATCACTTTCACTATCACTAACAAATAAATAAAAAGTGCATGTAATAATGTAGTTCTAAAAAAATTAATTTACTAACCTAAATTCAGATAATTCATCAGAAGAGAGCATTTCATTAGCTGAAGCACCAAAATTACGGTCAGTCCATTCATCTTCATCCATTTCACTTTGAGCTAAATCTTCTTCTATATCTAAATTTTCGAATTCTACACGTTCAGGTGTTTCACCCCGATCTAATGACTCCATTGATGCTTTTGTCTATTAAAAAATGAATGAAATATATATTAACAATAAATTGACAAATAATAATTAACATACTTTTTCTACTGTTTTATCCAAAATGAAAGGTTTGATCCCTAAATCTGGTTCAGTCTTTTGCTCAAGTTTTCTTCGAGATCTCATTTGTTGTGTTCCAGACATTCCAAAATGTTGAGAACAATAAAAACGATTGTCAAATTTACCTTCTCGGTCATACATGTAATTACCCAATCTCAGGGTTGTAAGACAATATTCACAACGGAAGCAACCACGATGGAAAAATCTTCCTTCTGCGCTTAACCGTTCCATTAAATAAACACGGTTGTTACAAAAATGACATGTTTCACTTCCACCTTGTGGAATTATTACTGTATTTTTAGCACCCTAAAAAATACAAAATTATATTTAAATTTTTTTTTTTAAACAATGAACTATAGATTAATTTGCAATTTATGTGAATTAGACCTAAAATTAATTGCAATATGGAATAATATAAAAATATTAATAAGAAATCAGGAAAAATATATAAGAAAATAAAAAGTGAACTATTTATTTTATTTTAAGATAATACTAATAATTAAATAATTAAATAATAAGATAAAAGTTGATAATGCATGATGTAAAAAACAAAATTATTGTTTAGTGTATGCATAGAGTGCCAAATACATTAATCAATCAACTTTTACTTTAAACATTTTAATGAAATGATTTACTAGAATAAAAAAAATCATATGAAAAGGGCTAAATATAAAATTGAAAACAATTATTCTAGGAATTTGAAAGAGTAATGAACATTGATAGGATACAGTTTTGAGGTTAATGTAATAAAATTATTTGAAAAATAAAAAAAAATTCTAAATTCTTTTGAATTTGAATCATAGCTATATGAAAAACAATATTAATATTACACAGTACAATAAGAATAAAAAGAAAATGTTCTTACAGATCTCTGGAGTAAAGGCTGTTCAGGTTGTTTATTTATTGTAGCTAAATGAGCAGCCATTGCTGAAACTTTATTAGCACCACGTTGACCTTGATCTAAAATATTTCCATCTTTAATTTTTCTATTTAGTTTATTTAAACTATCATCAATTTCCATATATTTTTTGTCATTATTGTCATTATCATATCCTTTCACGTGAAGTTTCTTTTTGATAGCACTTACCTAATATTTAACATATGTATATAAATTAAATTAAAAATACTATAAATAAAAATTGTTTTATACTCATAATACTTTATCATCAAATTGAGGTCGGCTCCATTTTGGTACTTTTTCAGTACCATTTTTAATGTGTTTAGTGTGCATTTTATTTTCTTCTATTTTTCTTTCTATTTCTTTTACATTCCAATCGCTTTTATCAATTTTTCCTATATAAAATAATAATAAGTATACTAAGTACAAGATACATAGAAGTATACATACCAATAGCCCGCAAAAGATCTTTAGGTTTTTTATCAATGGATGGGCCACCTTTAAGTTTTGCTTCAATTTCTTTAGCTCTAACTGAAATGTCTTCCTCCATTTTATAACGAGGAGAACAGTCTCTTTGAACACGATTATCTCGTGGCTAAAATATTACAATTATTTTTTATGAATGTAATACAAATAAATAATTTGTTAAGATTAAAAATTAAGACACAATATTTACTAAATTATATTCTTCAAAAAAAAAAAAAAAACCAATAAATATTAGAATTCTAATATTCTTTTTTACTCAGATGAAGCTCAACATTTTAGTTATAAACTTAATTAAAAAATTTAATTTAACATTTCTAGCCACCTACATTTTTTATAAAACAACACATAAAAATGTTAATAAATTTACTTTACTGCTTATTATTGAAATTTAAAATTAAGTTTACACTTAAGTATTTGGAAATTCAAATAATTTAATGCAATAAAAATGGTACATATTAATTTTTCAAAAGATAATTTTTTTTTCGTAATATACAAATGAATATACTTAAAAATTTAATAAATATATTTCATAGACAATTTAATCAATAGTTATATAAAAATCTCAATAAAAACCAAAATAATATATTATTATAATTAGTAATTACTACCACAATTAAGACATATCAAATTATTAATAATATTAAATATTAATAATACACTATTTAAATAGGCATTTATTTAATTTACTTACAACTTGTATTTGTATATATTAACCTTTAATTGCACAACTTTTTTTTAATAAAAAAATTTTTTTTGACTAATATTGATATGGCGAGGTTGTTATAAATAGTTAAACAATTTTAATTGTAAACAAAACCTTGTAAAGAACAATTTTTATGTCCATTGCACAAATGCAACAATATATGTATCAACTTCAACATTCATTTTTAATCATCAATATAAATATAAAAGTTAATTTGTTAAAAAAAATATTCACACACAATCAATATACAATAACCATATTTTAACACATTCATCTTACACTAGGAAATAATTTTTTCTCCAATTCTCTAGCTCGTTCTTTAAACTGTTCTGGATTATTATTTTCTAAAAATTCATCATCTTCAGGTTCTCTTATATAAATTTGTTGCATTTGTATATGCAGTCGTTTTTTTATTTGTGCCTTATTTTATCAAAAATTAATTAAGTATATAGTTTTAATACATTTCTGATGTAAACTAATTTTTTTTTATCATTTACAATTTTCGAAATATTTATTTAAAAATTAAAAATAATAAAAACTTAATTACCAATGATCCATTATTTATGTTTGTTCGTCGTTTTCTATTACGTCTTTGCATAGAAGAATTGCTTTTATCAACTGTAGATACACTATTAACACCGGAACGTTTTCGTGACTGTGAAATGGGCTTTACTAGAATAGATGGTTTTGAATAAGGGGTAAAAATATTATTTCTAGCAACATTAATTCTAAAACGACTTTCAGCGGGTGTTGGACCATGATCACTCTCTTCCTAAAAAAGATTAGAAATAATCAACTTAAATAATTTCAACAAATTTAATGTACAACTTTGTATAATAAATTTATTACCAATTTTGGATGTTTTATATGTGGAATTTCTCTTCTAAAAGTATCATATACTTGTGACAAATAAGATAATATGGCCAAAATATCAGGTACATCACACTGTTCCATTTCAATACCAGACATTATCTGAAAAGAAAATATTATAAAAATGTATTAAAATATTAGTTCAAATAGTCCAGTATAATAATATCTTACTGGAGGAATTCCAAATTCATGTTCTAATATATCAAAAGCCAATTGATTATTTTTTGCTACATCTGATTGAGAAAGAGAAAAGAAATCTATCAAGTCTGGGCGGTACCTATGAATAATTGCACATAATGCTAAGCCATTTTTAAACGATTTAGCAAAATCATCAACAGATATTGTATCATAAGGTTCAACTTGAGTTTTCAACCAATTATGTAAGGTTTCTTGATGTACTTGACTTTCTAAAATATAAAAGATATAAATAAATAATTTTTCAAGTATTTTTAAAATTTTTTGTTTATAAATATAAATAAAACAGGCACACATTGTTAGAGAACAAACACTTATAGGATTTGTATATTTTACATTATTCACCCTTTTTTGCAGGATCGAGAGCAGCCAAACGGACTGTTTTCAAATATTTAAATAAAAATTATTTTTAATAAAAAAAGTAATAATTTACTAAAATACAATTTTTTTATTAGTTAAAAATTACCTTTCCGTCTTCTTTTTTTTGGAACATCTTGAACTGGCGTAATTGCTTGGCGAGGAGTTTTTAGTAATTTTTCTATAATACTCTTGTCATCACAATCAAATAAATGTACAACTTGCAAAGGAAGAACAGCATGTGTATTCAAATTAGGATATCTCGAATGAGGATCAACAGTATAGCTAGCTATATTTTTATGTAAATTTTCTGGTGTTGTTTGACCAAGAATATGATAAATTGATTCCCTTTCAGCTAATACATCTAATGGATTAGAATCTGGAGTACCCCACTGCCGAATAGCCCAACAAGCATCCATGGAACTTAAAAAACCACGAGCACAACCAGAACCAGTAGGCCAAAATGGCTAGAACATTATACAATTTTAGTATCATAAAAAGTCAACAAATACAAATCTGTATTAATTTAAAAAATATATTTTTAATACCTCTAATAAGCTGTCTCCAACTAATGTGGTTAGAAGCTTATGACCATTTCTTTGAATTACATGACTAGAATTTTCTGCAGCGTACATTGAAGTGAAATCAAACATAGCTACATCAGGTTGACCATAATGATTAACAGCAAATTCAAGTTGAGGCAATGAATAATTTGTTGAAAAATTTGCAGCTTCTTTTGCATACTCTGTTAATGCTTCTTTATTTATATTTTCTAGAGCTAACAATTTTGCGACATCAGCATAATCCTATAAATAAAAATTATCATATAAAAATCATCTGCGAACTAATATAATTTAAATATTGTATCAAGTTATAATATTTTTAATAAATATAGTTCTACAGAGAATTATAAGTTATATTATATTGTGTTTACTATTTTATTTTTAAAATACATACATTTAATATAACTCCTTTATCGATCAAGCTATGTTTTTTGGCAGTCATTACAAAATAATGAGTTTCATCTTTATAATATACAATATTTTCTAAATCAATTCCAGTTTCTCGATAAAGATCTTTAAAAAATTTTTGATTGAATATAAAAGCCACTCCAGATATTTCTTCAACCCTTGCTTCAGCTTCAGTGTGTTTGTTAATGAAATTTGCAGTTATAGCAATCGCTAATCTACCACGAAATTCTTTTCTTTTAAATCCTAAATAATAAATAATCATATAAATTGAATTCAATAAAAAAGGAAATAATACTTCAAAAATGTAAGTATTTTAATTTTTTAACATATACCTTCTAATGTATTTCGTTTACCATCAGCTCCAATAAGAACATCAAATTCATACTGAGAAACAGGATGATCTGCTGGACTAATATTAGCTCTCCAACCAATTTCTATTATTTTGAAAAGCACGTATATAGTAATTTTAGATAATCAACAAAAAATAAAATTCAATACATGGTTTTAATTATTAATGCAATAATGTATTTGAAATCAATAATGCAAGAATATGATTAAAAATCTCTAAATAGAATCACAATAAAAAATTTTATTTTTCTAATTTAAGAAAACTGTCCATTTAATTATTTAGAATCTGTTTTAAACATACTTCAATGATTTAACTTAAAATTATATTTGATTGATTTATTACATTTCTTTAAATTAAATTAAAAAAATATTTATTAAATAGTTAGTACTTTAACAAACTTTTTTATTGATATTTGCATGACTTTGTGTATTAAAATATTATATCAATGAAATAAATGTATGTCTTCTATATTATCATACTAAAAGTATAAGAAGTATTAATTATATATTATTTATAAAACATACTTTCATCTTTTTCAGGAGGAGGAGAAAGAGCATCAAAGCTAACACCTTCATGAATTTCAACACCCAAGATTAAAGAAACTTTTAACAGAATACATTGAAGCTGCCTTATACCTAAAATAATAATTATTGTTATTAATATACCATATTCAGTGTAAGCTAATATTAAGATCTTACTTATATGATCAATTGCGCCAGCACAAAATTTACCAAAAAACTTTTTTGCACCAAGCCCTTTTAAGTCTTGAATAACAAAAGGCCAAAGATGAAGAACATTATGTCTTGAAAGCCGATCTCTTTTTTCCACTACAACCACTTTAGCACCTAAGAGTTGAGCTTCAATTGCAGCACGTAATCCACAGGGTCCCGCACCAATTATTAAAACCTAAATTGTTTTTATTTTTGTAAAAAAATAATAAATGCATAATGTATTCAAAAACTTACCCTTGTATTCATACATGCTTTGCCTCGATTATAACATTTATGGCTTGCTTTTTTATCAAATTTATTCCATAAAGCTTTTGCTTTCCACGAACATAACATTGTCTAGAAAATAAAAAATGAATACACAAAAAAAATTAAGAATAGATTTTTCTTATGTTTATACATTTCCTCATAATGAATAATAGAAGTATGATCCTTCAAAAATAATTCATTAACACTTTCAAAACAAATGAGGTATAACTATTGAATGAACATTGAATACAATTTAAGACCCAAAGTTACTTACTTCGAATTATTATTCATAGTTTTTATCTAAATATATACAAAAAAAAAAAAAAAAAATAATAATCTAAATAATCTAAAAAATTGTTGGTTCTATTTAAGTATTATAACTAGCTACGATTCATTAGTTATTAAAATTCTGTTATCACCACATTCCTAACAAACAGATTACAGACTCAATATATATTAAAAAACATGATTTATTTAGATAGTTAAAATTGTATAATATAAATTATAGATTTACTAAATCATCAACCAATTATAACTTTACAATTAAACAATTATAACTTACCTTCAGTTTTGGATAAAATTGAGGGAAATTAGTAGGTTTGATGCGCAATATTTCACATAGATGTCGAAAATGACCAAGAATAGTTTTCATAGTGGATGCTGTACAGAAACGGTCAAAAACTTCAGACGCTAATGCAGCATCAGCAGATGGAAGAGTTTTTCGATAGTGTGAAGCCATTGTTCAAATTCTAAACAACCAATATAACAATAAATAATAAAAATAAGTTAGTAGAAAATTGAAAAGGAAACAAATTAGAGCACAAATAATACAAAGAGGTAATTTTGACACTATTTATTTTTTATGTCATATCTAAATTTATAAGTATATATTAACTACATTTAATATAGGAAATAAAATAAACTTCATTATCTATTCTATTTTAATCATTCATTAAATTTAAGCCATTGCCATAATTCTGTTTTAGTTTAGCTAATGACTATAAAATATATTTATTTTACATACATCTTTTAATATAACATTATTACGATTAAAAATGTTTTTTTATTTATTAATTAGAAAATAATATGATTACAATTCAAACACACATTTATATAGATAATTTGATTTTAATGAAATTAATAGTGAGCAGAATAAAAATTAAGAAAATAACTCAGTAGTACTTACATTGCTTAGTAATTTAGGAGTGTAGAGTACATTTTATTCTTAATTTTACATACATTTTAAATATTTATAGATATCTAAATAAGTGCTAGAATAAATAATACTTGTATTATTATACGGCAGTATAATTTATGATGGCCAAAAAGACAACAGATTGTAATTCAGAAGTCGTCCATCCCTATTATTATAGTTCAAGCTATACCTAATCTCTTTGGAGTATTAACTGGTAATATAGGAGTAGAAAACAGTTTATTTATAGTTTAAAGGCAGTGTTAATACATTTAAGTAAAATTATTTGAATAAAACAATTAAAATACATTTTAATGCATTGACTACTTTTTTAAATACTTTTACTTATGAAATATTTGAATGATATTTTAAATACTTTTTCATTTCTTATTATATTTTTAAACTGGTTTTGTTTCAATTTATAAAATTTAACATTTACCTATCAAAAAACTGTAAAAAATAATTTTATTTAACAATCATTGTTACGATTATTATATTATAATGTACTATGATTAGGGTTGCCATCCATCCCAATATATGGGGGATGTCACTTTTATTGAGCTCTCTGTTCCAACGTCTCGACAAGATACTAAAATGCCCTAATTGAAACTGCTTATTGCAAATTTTACTTTATTGTATACAAATATGCGACTGAAAGTAAAAAATTGTGTTTTTAAACTTGTATGACTAAATATATGGGAAAAGAGTTTTTTCATAAATGACGATCCAGTGGACTGATGAATAAAATTGTCTGCTTCCAGAGATTATGAGTCAATTTTAGTGTCAAGTTAATTATGAAATGACTTGTGGAGAATTCTACAAATATATTAATGGGAACAAAAGAACTGTTAAAAAAACAAAATCTTCTGAAAAGTATGGCCATTCAAATACCACTGAAATAAATTAAAAATATTTTTTTTAATGTAACCTATATAAATAAACAAGTATTTGAACTAAAACAAAAAATTAAATTTTTATTAAAAAAATTGAGTATTTTATACACTCCATCCTAGAATTATTAGAACGTCTCAGTCAAAGACCCTAGTCAAATAAGGTTACCCTAAATATGATTTATTATTTTTGGATTATTTAACGTTGATTTTTTACTTTTTTACTTGATTTGATACTTTTACCTATATTATATTTCCCATGAAACAATTCATCATAAACGACGATTATGTGGTGTAAATTTTATAGCTATGAATATATACTAAATAAGTAATATATTATATATATATATATAAGCTTATGTTTATTTATTCTTTCATTTTTATATACTTGTATTAACTATTTATTTATTTTTTTATACATTAAATCATAATAATTGAGCACACAATATGTAGTGTCCTTATATTTTTTTTATAACTTAATATATAGAGTGTCTCAAAAATAACGCAGGATTTAAAACTGCTATAAATTAAATTTACTTCTCTTAAAAAACATAAGAAATATATAATTCTCTTCAGGAGAAGTTAAGGTTTAACAGTGAAAAACAATATCAGACATATTACGCCCCCCTCTTCTTACTAGCCATACAAATGATTATTCTTTCCATAAAATTTACCATCACTCGATCACACATTACCCCATCAAAATATAATGAATATCTTGCTTAAGTTCCAAGACATTTCGAATTTTGTTTTAGTAAACTTATAACTAGGGAACGGATTTATATGTAAATACATATTTTTATTAAAACGAGATATTTAAAATTTGATAAGAAATGTTCATGATTTAAATCATTCCTATTAATATGATGCTACTTTTATTTTACATATTTTTACATATTTTGGTATAATTACATATTTTTACATATTTCACTAATTTGTAAATATTTTTAAACATATTTTATTATTTCATCATTCATACGTCTTCTTCGTACAAAAATACAAGAAATTATTTCAAATTTAGATCCAGAACTTCTATCGCTATTAGAAAAGCTCAAAATATTATGTAAAATGAAACATTGAAAACTCATTTAATTTTCATCTCAGTGAATTTTAGTTTTATTGCACATACATTTACAAAATAAGAAACAAAAATATGTCCTTGAATGAAAGTATGCAAATTGTCGAATCAACGATTGCAAAATGAAAACTCGTAAACGGACCAATAGGCGAAGTTGTAAAAAAGAAAATTCATGTTGTTACAGAAAAAAATTTCAGGCCATATTGATTATAAATCAATCAATGACATAGAGTGGCAGACACCCTTCTAAAATTTTGGAATTATCGCCTTCTAATATTATGCCCTTCAAATATGCTTAAATCAACCGATGTAGGTTGAAGTGGAATGATCATTTAGCCGTTTTAAAAATATTTTCAGATCTAATAGGCGATATTTAATATTTAATAATTTAAAATTGTAATAATTCAATGCAACAAATAATTTTGATAATTTAATAATTATAATTTTTTTTTTTTTATTAAATTTTTTTCCTACATATTTGGATGGTTTTAGCACATATTTTATACATTTTACTTACATAAATATGTACATATTTATGTATTTTTATTACATATAAATCCGTTCCCTACTTATAACCTAGTGTATCCCCATAAGGAAATATCACACGGCGTCAAGTTGCAAGATTGAGGTTGGTAGCTTTGGTCTCTACGCAACGAGATTAGTCTGCTCGGGAACTTTTTACGTAGCAGAGCGATTGTTTCTCTTCAAGTGTGACAAGTTGAAACCATAAATTTTCGATGTTTATTTGGTCCAAACGAGGCCAAAGAAAGAATAATACAAATACCTGTAGGACTAGTAGGGAGGATCATATGCCCCATATTGTTCTTCAATGTTAACCCTTAACTTCTCCTGAAGAGAATAATATATATATATATTATGTTTCTTTAAAAGAAATAAATTTAATTTATAGCAGATTTAAATCCTGCATTCTTTTAGACACCCTATATTTTTTTCTAAGTAAATTAAATCTGATTCAATAATGTTCAAAAGATAACCGTTATGAAATCAATTACGTATATGTGATTCAAAAACAGAATAAGAAAAACGAAGGCGTGAAATACTAAAAGCCCACACAGTATTAAGTATAGGTTGAAAACGCAGACAGATAATTTTGCAAAATATTTATTTCACGAAAAACGTAAAAGAAAATAGAATGAGTAAAGTTAAAATAATGGAGCCAAAAACCAAATTAGACTATTAAATCGGCTATGAATAACAACTTAAATTACATTAATATCATTAATCTATAATCTGTAGAACTATTAAATATGAAAACAATTAAAATGATTTATTTTTACAGTGTACTTTCACATAAATGGTAAAAAAATGATAGTATTAAGAACAAAAATATAGATAAATTCTCAAATTTCCAGCATTTAAGGAGTATTAAGACAAGAATAGTTTCCGGAAAAATGTCATCTGGCCTTGTGCCACATACACAGAAATCAATGGATGCCAAACTATCTAGGACATAACTGATTGTACTATTTTAACATTTTACAGGCTATAAGCGATATTAGGACTAATGTTTTATGTTTAATGAATTATTTTCTCCAACTGATTACTTTTATAATTAGTATTTTTTTAATCTAATAAATACATTGAAAATATTAGAATCATACGGTTTGTATTCAATTTTAAAAGCACATTATTAAATCATAAATATTACGTAAATATAATTACTAATTTTTGTTTTTAAAAATTAAAATATAATTTTAAACAGATTAATTGTAATAAATTAAATATCAAATAACCATTATACAACGTTAAATATGATAAAATCTTACTAAAAGGTTATCTTTAAAATTAGATACGTAAAAAAATGTAAAATAATACAAATCTTATTTTTCAATCGTTTATTATTAAAATACCTATTTATAATACTGCTGAAATAACCGAATATGTTGTATGTATAAAACATACGGGCTCAGGGCTCCAACGTATTGGGCTCAATTAGAAAAATTAAAAAATAAATAGAAAAAATAAAATAAAATCATTTTGTTTTAATATATAAATAAATAAACAAATATGTTACGTATATAAATAAATAAATCTAAACCTTAGCCTGAAATATTATTAATAATATAATAATAATAATAATAATAATAATAATAATCATAATTTATTATATTTGTATAGTAGGCCTCTAGCTTTGAAATAAAAATTCATCAACATGTATAGTGTACAAAGTTAATTAAATTGCGACCTAGTATAAAAAAATTAAATCAAAACTTAAAATAAAATATTAAGCTTTTATTTATTTATAAATTAATATACAATTATTAACCATTTATTAATTTTTAAATTTTTTTTATTTTATTATAATTATTAAGGAAGGTTGAACAATAATTGATAATCGATTTTGTACTGTACACATTATCGTACAGCAACATGTCATTTGCAGCCTATATAATCAAAATTAAAAATAGTTGGATTAAAAATGATTAAAGATATGGTTTTCCTGCAGCGTTCTGACGTGGGGGGGGGGTGCGTTCATTTATTTACACACGGCCCCAAATTAGTGTAGTTGCATCACTGATTAAAAATATTTATTCCATAATAAACTTTGTTTTATATTTCACATTTAAT